TATAAGTTTAGCAAACATATATATAATTTTGGAGTGTGGTTAGGTGTTTTTAAACAACACGGAAGTTGCTAAATAGTACATATAGTATTTATGGGAAAATTCAGTTTTTTATAGGGGTTAACCCACATATTTCAAGAAAATTTATAAAAACTTTAATTTCTATTTTAATGCCTAGCTGCATCATACACCGACATAGTATGACGATTAAATAGGTTTGATATTTTAAATGTTTTCGTTTCTCCATAAAATATGATTTTTATAGGGGTAAATCCACATATTAAGTTGTATATGCATGTTAAATAAATTAATCTTTGAAAAATTAGAAATGATGTCCATGTACCATGAATATAAGTTTAACAAAAATATATATAAATTTGGAGTGTGGTTAGGTATTTTTAAACAACACGAAAGATGCTAAGTATATACATTATTTAATGGAAAATTCAGCTTTTTCATAGGGATTAACCCACATATTCAAAATAAATAATAAAATACAGAATAATTGTTTTAATGCATAGATACATCGTATACCGACATAGTATAAAGATTAAATAGGTCTGAGATTTTAAATGTTTCTTTTTCTCAATAAATAGAGTTTTTATAGGGGTTAATCCACATTTTAAGTGGTATGTGAATGTTAAATAAATTAATAATTGGCAAATTAAAAATGTTGCCCTATATACCATGAATATAAGTTTAGAAAACATATATATAAATTTGGAGTGTGTTTCGGTATTTTTAAACAACACGGAAGTTGCTAAATAGTACATATAGTATTTATCGGAAAATTCAGTTTTTTCATAGGGGTTAACCCACTTATTTCAAGAAAAAAATTTTAAAAAATAATTTTTGTTTTAATACCTAGCTGCATCATACACCGATATAGTATGAAGATTAAATAGGTTTGAGACCTTAAATATTTCCGTTTCTCCAGAAAATATGATTTTTATAGGGGTTAATCCACATATTAATTGGTATATGAATGTTAAATAAATAAATAATTGGAAAATTAAAAATGCTGCCCATAGACAATGAATATAAGATTAGAAAACATATATATAAATTTTTAGTGTGGTTAGGTATTTTTGAACAACACAGAAGTTGTTAAATAGTACATATAGTCTTTATCGGAAAATTCAGTTTTTTCGTAGGGGTTAACCCACATATTTCAAGAAAAATTTTAAAAACTGGAATTTTTGTTTTACTGCCTAGCTGCATCATACACCGACATAGTATGAAGATTAAGTAGGTCTGATATTTTAAATGCTTCCGTTTCTTCAGAAAATAGAGTTTTTATAGGGGGTAATCCACATATTAAGTTGTATATGAATGTTAAATAAATTAATCATAGGAAAATTAGAAATGATTCCCATGTACCATGGATATAAGTTTAGCGAACATATATATATATATATAAATTTGTAGTGTGGTTAGGTATTTTTAAACAACACGGAAGTTGCTAAATAGTACATATAGTTAACCCACATATTTCAGGAAGAATTATAAAAAAATGGAATTTTTGTTTTAATGCCTAGCTGCATCTTAAAACAACATAGTATGAATATTAAGTAGGTTTGAGATTTTAAATGTTTCTGTTTCTTCAGAAAATAGAATTTTTATAGGGGTTAATCCACATTTTAAGAGGTATATGAATGTTAAATAAATTAATAATTGGTAAATTAAAAATGCTGCCCGTATACCATAAATATAACTTTATAAAACATATATATAAATTTGGAGTGTGGTTAGGTATTTTTAAACAACATGGAAGGTGATAAATAGTACATATAGTATTTATCGGGAAATTCAGTTTTTCGTAGGGGTTAACCCACTTATTTCAAGAAAAATTAAAAAAAAAAAAGAATTTTTGTTTTAATACCTAGCTGCATCATACACCGACATAGTATGAAGATTAAATAGGTTTGTGATTTTATATTTCTGTTTCTTCAGAAAATAGGATTTTTATAAGGGTTAATCCACATTTTAAGTGGTATATGAAAGTTAAATAATTAATAATTGGCAATTTAAAAATTCTGCCCATATACTATGAATATAAGTTTAGCAAACATATATAAATTTGGAGTCTGGTTAGGTATTTTTAAACAACACGGAAGATGCTAAATAGTACATGTAGTATTTATCGGAAAAATTAAGTTTTTTCATAGTAGTTGTTAATCCACATATTTCAAGAAAAATTATAAAAAATAGAATTTTTGTTTTAATGCCTAACTGAATCATACACCAATTTGTATGAATATTAATTAGGTTTGAGATTTTAAATGTTTTTCTCAGAAAAATAGAGTTTTTGTAGGGGTTAATCCACATTTTAAGTTGTATATGAATGTTAAATAAATTAATAATTGGAAAATTAAAAATGCTGCCCATGTACCTTGAATATAAGTTTAGCATACATATATCTAAATTTGGAGTTTGGTTAGGTATATAAACAACACGGAAGTTGCTAAATAGTATATGAATGTTAAATAAATTAATCATTGGAAAACTAGAAATGATGTCCATGTACCATGAATATAAGTTTAGCCAACATATATATAAATTTGGACTGTGGTTAGGTAAACCATCAATGATTGGTGAACCTGCATATCTTTTTGCAACTCCTTTGGAAATATTTTTAAACAACACGAAAGATGCTAAATAGTTTAAACAGTATTTAATGGAAAAATCAGCTTTTTCATAGGGGTTAGCCCACATATTTCAAAATAAATCATAAAATACAGAATTTTTGTTTTAATGCATAGATGCATCGTACACTGACATAGTATGTAGATTAAATAGGTCTGAGATTTTAAATGTTTCTTTTTCTCAATAAAATAGTTTTATAGGGGTTAATCCATATTTTAAGTGGTATATGAATGTTAGATACATTAATAATTAGAAAATTAGAAATGCTTCCTATTTACCATGAATATAAGTTTAGAAAACATATATATAAATTCAGAGTTTGTTTCGATATTTTTAAATAACACGTAAGATGCTAAATAGTATATATAGTATTTATCATAAAATTTAGTTTTTTCGTATGGGTTAATCCATATATTTCAAGATAAATTATAAATTATGGTATTTTTGTTGTAATGCATAGCTGCATCACACACCGACATAGTATGAAGATTAAATAGGTTTGAGATTTTAAATGATTATGCTTCTTCAGAAAATAGAGTTTTTATAGGGGTTAATCCTTTATGTGGTATATGAATGTTAAATAAATAAATAATTGTAAAATTAAAAATGCTGCCCATAGACCATGAATATAAATTTAGCAAGCATATATATAAATTTGGAGTGTGGTTAGGTATTTTTAAACAACGCGGAAGTTGCTAAATAGTACATATAATATTTATCAGAGAAATTCAGTTTTTTCATAGGGGGTATAAAATATTAACCCACATATTTCAAAAAAAAATTATTAAAAATAGAATTTTTGTTTTAGTACCTAGCTGCATCATACACCAATATAGTATAAAGATTAAATAGGTTTGAGACCTTAAATGTTTCTGTTTCTCAAGAAAATGGGATTTTTATAGGGGTTGATACATATATTAATTGGTATATGAATGTTAAATAAATTAATCATTGGAAAATTAGAAATGTTGCCATGTACCATAAATATAAGTTTAGAAAACATATATATAAATTTTGAGTGTTTAGGTTTTTTTAAACAACACCGAAGATGCTAAATAGTATATATAGTATTTATCGAAAAATTTAGTTTTTTGTAGGGGTTAACCCACATATTTCAACATAAATTACAAAATATAGTATTTTTGTTTTAATGCATAGCTGCATCGTACACCAACATAGTATGAAGATTAAATATGTCTAAGATTTTAAATGTTTCTTTTTCTCAATAAAATAGAGTTTTTGTAGGAGTTAACCCCTAACCACAAACCCTGAACCCTGACTACTTAATCGAAGATCACTTACAGATAAGTATACAATATCGTCAACCACTTGGCCGGCTATCATTACAAATATATGAGTAATATATATAACAGGCGGCTAATAGTTATTGTAGCATGCTAATATTATAAATTACCTACGAGATTATTAGTCATAAACAATTTCGTTAGTCACTTAGCAGGCTAGAAGTACAAATATCTGAGTAATATATTCAATACGCAGCTAAACTCTTACATATCTCTATATCCTAAAAACTCAACACTAAACCGTTAAATAAATCTATACGCTAAATGTTAACCCCCCCTAAGATATTGTTAGTCATATAGAATATCGTCAACCACTTGACCGACTAGAAAAACAAATATATGAGTAATATATTTAATACGCGGCTAAACCCTTGCATATCTCTATTCCCTTAAAACTCAATACTAAACCGTTAAATAAATCTTAACACTAAATGCTAACCCCTAAACCCTCAACCCTAAACCCACAAACTTTGCATATTTCTATAAATCCTAAAGTTTGCAACAAAAAAAAACAATACATAGTTTGGAGTCTTCCATATCAAATACTTAAAACAGAGCATACTTAAATACTAGATTAGGAAAACCAGAAGAGACTAACAGTTACTTCATAGAGATACCACAATACGTCATATTAGATTGTGTCTATCTACATTGGTCACGTAAGAGGTTGATGTGAAAGGGTAGCAAGATAAAAAACCACAATGAACAGTCGTCGTCTCTTTTTATGGATTTGATATTTTGCAAATTATGCTATAATTTTTTTTGGTAGGGAAGCAAAATTCTCTACATTTTATACTGATTTCTTTATAGTTTTCCCTTTTAAACAAAGAAGTAGACTACAAGAGCTTGGCTTGGGTGATGTCAGTACTCAGTAGTAAGGAGGATCCACAGGACCACAGCCCAAACCAAATTACAACAAAACAAAAAAATTAAGCCCACTAATTGGCCCAACAATAAACCTACTAAACGTCGTTTTGGTAAAACCCTATTCTTTCCCTCAACATATTAGGCGGCGGTGAAGCTTTCCCGGCGTCAGAAGCTTTGTTGTTTTTCTGAGCTCTGTAATCTTCTCCACTGGTTCGTGTTCTACCCTCTTTCTCAAACCGAACTAGCCTTCTCCCGACCATCTACGCGCGCAGTACACCTGCTTGTACGTGTTCCTCTCTCATCTAAACTCTCTGTTTTGTGTTTTTTTTTTTTAACTTTATTCGTTTGATTATATATAAAAATCGTTAATTTTGTATAAAGACTTGTCCTTTGGATAGATTCTAAACAAGTGTTGTGTTGTGTTCTGTTTTTTTTTGTTTCTTTGTAGTGTTCAGACAACGAACTGCAGTTTAGATAATAATGTCGGAAGTTAAACCATTGATTGGTCTTAAATGGGAACCAAAGCTTCCATGCTTAGCTTTAGAGTCAAAAACTGGTTCCACTTCAAGTAAAGTTGCTGAGAGTGGTTCTCTTTGGAGCTCTAAGTCAGAGCTTGTTGATGGTCTTTGTCTCCCACCTACTGATCCAAAGAAAGTTACTAAGATGATGAGAAAGCAAATTAAAGACACCACTGGCTCAGACTGGTATAAAACTTTTGCTAACCTTTTTTTTTTTTTTTTAATATGAATCAATTGGTGAGAGGTTTTCACATTTGTCTTGGTATTGTGGATTAGGTTTGATATGCCTGCACCAACAATGACTCCTGAGTTGAAAAGGGATCTTCAATTGCTTAAGGTAAAATGTGTTCTTGAGGTTTTTTTTTTTATTGTGGTTTCTAGAAACTTCATTCTGATTTTAATCTCTTTTTTTTTTTTTTTGTAGTTGAGGCATGTGATTGATCCTAAGCAACATTACAAGAGAGTTGTGTCCTCTTCAAAATTAGGTGAAAAGTATTTCCAGGTAAGTCGTCTCTGAGCGGCAAAGTTTATCAAGACAAGAGCTTTTTTTGGTTTTGTTCTTTGTCTGAACACCAACTCTTGTTGTTTTTATGTGTGTTGAAAAAACAGGTTGGTACAGTAATTGAACCAGCACAAGAGTTCTTTCAGAGACTCACAAAGAAGAATAGAAGCACAACTCTTGCTGATGACTTGGTGGCAGACCCTAACGCTTCTCAGTACAGGAAAGTTACTTCCATTGTTCTATTTAGAAAGTGTTTATTGTATAAGGATGCTTAGATGATGTATCAAAATAATGCATGTCTTAGGCTAGTTGTTTGTAAAGGTTTAGGTTGTGATTCATTTTAGTTAAATCCCTCTAAACCTGGCTTTGACAATGGAATTGAACGTGTTAATTGAAAGAGGTTCTTGGTGAGCCCTTGTAGAGAGGCTCTTTTTGAGCATATTGTTTGTTTCTTCATATCTTTGGATTGCAAGAATGCTATGTCTCTGTCAAGAATTATGTAGGGTTATTGAGAGAGGTTGCAGCTAAGACATGAGTTTGTAAGTGATTTTGTGTTTGGTTGTGTTGTGTATTCACAGGAAGCGTAAAGTCAGAGAGATTGAAGAGAAGAACAGATCTAATCAGGATAAGAAGTGGAAGAGAAAGGGAAGTGACTCCAAGAAAACAAAACATAGAAGGAACTGAACTGCATCTACTAGAGACTATGATCTCATTTTTTGGTGCACCTTACCTTGTAATGACTACTGTTGTTGTTTTACAGCCTTTGTTTAGAAGGTTGGTTTTGTTGTTTACATGTCGGATGATTAAACAAACATTTATGGGAATTGAATAGATCATAAGAGTATTTTGGACCTGGTGGTTATGTCAACAAACTTAACTAAACGGTGTCTAGAAAATCTATGTGATCCTGGAAATAAAATTATCAACCTGGTACAAGAGAATAAACACCCATAGAGTCTAGCATAGGCAAAGTTGCCAAGTTTGAGCATACGAGAGATGCAAAATATGACTAGGCAAAATATCAGGAACTGAAAAACCGATCCGAAATCAACTCGAAAATCAGGTCCCAAACCCGATCAGAAGGGTAAATTCACACCCGATCAGAAGGGTAAATAACTGAATGAGTCTTCAATTGCTATATTCAAAGAACCGATGTTGAATCTGATTCGAACTAAGAACCGAATGAGTATTCGAAGATACCCGAAAGGTGAATATGTATCTAAAATTATTAGTTATAATTAGTTGAATAATTTGAATTTAAATTAGAAATTAAATATTTTAGTTATTTTTAGTACTTTTGTGTATTTTCTGATTAAAAAATGATTGTTTGAATAAAAATGTACTCATACAAAACCGTGTAAATGAGTATTTTTTTTGGGTACATTTCAATAGTTTGGATATAAAATGTCGAATTGAATCGAATAATATAGTTATTTTAGGTTAAATATATCTGAATCCGTTTCAGATACACTGGTTACTTGATTATTTTCAGGTTCTTAAACATCAGAACCGAATCCACTTGGACCCGGAAAGATTCGACTCAAACCCAGTCTGAGATTTTGTAATACTCGAAAGTATCCTAATTTTAAAATCCAAAAAATCCGATACCCGATAGAACTGACCAATATCCGAACGGGTATCCGAATGACTAGTGCAAAAGCTGTATAATATCACAGGAAACTCAGTCTAAATATGGGCCTTGTTGAGCCGGTTTACTATTATTTCTTTTCTTTCTGTTTAAGCCCATTATCTTCTCTCTTTCTTCTCCTCTTTCTTCTTCTTCTCATCTGATTCTCCACTTCTATCAAGAGTTCTCCAAGAAGAACACAAACACTTAAAACATTCAACTCGTTTCCCTATAATCTAAACATGGCTTCTCCCGAGCAATCAGAGAGAAACTCCCCTGAAAAAAGCAGTGTGTCCAAGAAAGTTTCAGAGATCTGGGCACAAATGAACGAAGGAGTACCAAACAAACGATTCAATTTCGTCTCAAAGACCTCAAAATCTCCCCCACCCGCTAAAAAATCACCTAACAGCGTAACACTCTTCCTCTCCTCTGCACTCTTTTTTATTTATATAATATCCTCTAAATTTTTCAAAAAGTTTGAGTTTTGTTTTTGGATTCACAGTACTTGAAAAGTTATCTTGGCATTGAAGCAAAGAAGAAGCACGAAGTTGTAGAAAAAGAAGATAGCGTTTTGGTTAGTAGCTGTAGCGAGGAGGCTAAGCGTATTGCTGCAGCTGCTCTAGCTGCTGTTAGAAACGCAACCGCAACTGCTGCTGCTGCTTCGAGCCGTGGCAAGGTTGAGGTTAGTTAAAAAGCTTTGACCTTTGGGGTGTGTGTGTTTGACTCTGTGTGTAGTTAGAATTTAAGATCTCTCAGCTGTTTATATGATTAAAGTCTCTGTCTTTATGTTGATATATGAATGTGCTTTGTCTTGGTAACGTTAGAATCTAAGATCTCTGCTCTGTTTTGAACTAAGAGGGTGGATTGTGTATGATTAAAGTCTCTGTCTTTACGTTAGTATGAATCTGCTTTGACTCTGTGTAGTTCGAATCTAAGATCTCTCAGCTATTTTGAAACTAAGAGGGTGGATTATTTTGTGTGATTAAATTCTCTGTTTTTAAGTTAATAGAATGTGCTTTGTCTTGGTAATGTTAGAATCTAAGATCTCTCCTCTGTTTTGAGCTAAGAGGATGGATTGTGTATGATTAAAGTCTCTGTCTTTACGTTAGTATGAATCTGCTTTGACTCTGTGTAGTTCGAATCTAAGATCTCTAAGCTGTTTTAAGGTAAGAGGGTGGATTGTGTATGATTAAAGTCTCTGTTTTTAAGTTAATATGAAAGTGCTCTGACTCTGTGTAGTTAGAATCTAAGATCTCTCAGCTGTTTTGAGCTAAGAGGATGGATTGGGTGTGATTAAGTCACTGTCGTTAAGTTAATATGACTGTGCTTTGCCTCGGTAACGTGAGAATCTAAGATCTCTCAGCTGTTTTGAACTAAGAGGATGGATTGTCTAATGATTTAAGTCTCTGTCTTTACGTTAATACTCCATTGAACCTAAGTGGGAAGCTTTCTTCTTGTTTGTGTTTGTGTTTTACCTTGGTACCGTTAGAATCTACGATCTCCAGGCTGATTTTTAGTGTTGGCAAGATGGAATGTATTGGCTACAATCTTTTCTTAAGTCTCACCTTTTTGTATCTACAGATAACAGAGGTTAAAGACTTTGCTGGTCAAGAAATCGAAGTGAAGAGGTTAGTGGAAGCAGGTTCAAAGGAAGCCTCCTCCTCATCCTCCTCTTCAGGGGTTGATGCCGTTCTTGAACAGATAAAAAAGAAACAGAAGCTGAGTGTTTTGGACAAGACGAAGAAAGACTGGGGAGAATATAAGGAGGAGAATAAAGGTGTTGAAGATGAGCTGGATAAGTATAAGAAGAGCTCTGACAAGTATCTTGACAAAGTTTCTTTCTTGGAGAGAGCTGATTATAGACAGTTTGAGAAAGAGAGAGACGCTCGTTTAGCTCTTCAGTCCAAGAGAAAACTCGATGGTGATGACTGATTGTGAAAGACTCTTCTTATTATTATGTTGTAAGTATTCTTGTTTTCTGGTGTGTAGAAAAGTAAACCTTGTGGCAGTTTCTTAAAGGATTTTGTCACATTCTTTGCAGAGAGTCTAATAAACTGTGTTCCCGTTTGCTTGATTCGATTCTGTTTTCTTCTCTGGCTTGAGTGTATGTATGTTGAAGAATGAAGAGACACAATGAATAGGCTTGCACTGCAACATAAGCTCACACTTATACTTCTAACCATATGTAACATCGAATGGAACTTCTGTGATGACGTTCTTTTCACAACATTACATTCCTCCTTTAACCTCTGTAACTTGATGTAGTTTGAAGACGAAGTTCTCGTTCTCCTTTCCAGAATTAGTGGATGAAATCCACAAAGCCATTTACTGAACTACATCATGCATCTTTACCAAACCATCCATCAATAGACTTGCATTCACCACACTATCAATCATTTCTTTCTGATGAATTTTGGACATTGCAATAGAAATATCAATGAAGCATACACATGAGTTATTACATTTTACATGCTCGAGGATGTGTTTTTGTCTATGAAAACGCAAGAAAACAAAATAAGCTTTTGAATCTAAAGATCAACGGCAGGAGGAATGTCACCAACAGTGAGATCTACTCCATCATCTGGCAAGTCAGATCCGAGTGGTCCAAGTATCCCTTCAGAACTCAGCGTCAATCCACTCTGCTCAAACATTACACCAACATTAACATATCACAATCACGTCCCAGATCCTTACTATAGATGTACACTACATTGTTAGAAGCATTGATAAACGAGGACATGCAAGTGGATAGAGTCATACCTCAGGTTGGAAGCGAAGCATGTCTGCACGAGCCATAGCTTCTGCTTGGGCAATTCTTTGTCTGAACGTCTGAGCCATCTCCTCAGCCTTGAGACAACACAAAAGTAGAAGACAGGATTGAGAGAGACCATAGAGAGAATTGAGAGTGTTGGTGGAAATAGTGTTTACCTTCTCGAAAACAAGTTTTGGGTTACGAATCATATCACCAGGTGTTGGCTCCAGCTTCTTTGTTGAGAGACTAACTCTTCCTCTGTCACGGTCATGGCTCAGTATCATGACCTGTTAAACATTATAAGTTAGCTAACATCCGAATCAATAAAAGAGTTTTAAGAATATCCGTAGTAGAGAGAGACCTTAAGAGTGTCACCAGGCTGTAGAACAGTAGCGATATCTGAGACACGGTCATGACTGATCTGACTAACATGGAGAAGTCCATTGATTCCACCAATGTCAATAAAGGCACCATAGGGTTTCAAGCTCTGAACAACTCCGAGAACCACAGATCCAATTCCAAGCTGAGCTTGGCTGTCAGCCACAGCTTTACGGTTGCTGAGGACAAGCTTTGTTTGTTCCTCATCAACCTCCACAAACTTTAGAGGTATCTCTTTATCAAGAAGCTCTTCCGCTGGTGCTTTCTAACAAAACAAACGTAGAAAAACACACTGTTACTCAAGTTGTGTTACTGACTTAAACTAGTAAAGTTCTGAGACAAGTACTAACCGATGATATTTGAGAAAATGGTACAAACCCACGAAGACCCTCCACCATAGCAACCAATCCACCTTTGTTCGCACCAATAACCTAAACATACAATCCACATTGTTACCAGAGGGACCACAAAGGGGAAGCAAAGAAGTTCGAAACCTTACCTTAGCTTTGACAACAACATCCTCAGCTTGAAGCTGCCTACATCGTTCCCAAGCAAGTTCGTACTGAATCATCCTTAAGCTCAATAGCAAACTATCGTCACTCTCGTTCTCACCAATGATGACAAACTCCTCCACCATACCAGGAACTATGCCAGCTTCTTCCACATGCTTGATTCTGTGAATGCAAGCTTGTTCAACGGACAAGTAAGCCGATGATTTCGCAGAGATGTCGACTAATGCACCATTTGCATCGGTCTTAAACACCGTTCCCTTCACCTGAAACAGTGTCACAGCCACAACTTGATAACACAACTCTACAGAACCAAAACATTGTAAATACTCAAGTTTCTCAAACTAAACTTAAGCAATGATTAAACCTCAGAGTTCGAAACTTTTCTAAAAACCACAAAGATACTGTAAAGGAGAAGATAACTGAACTAGTTTGGTCTAACACAACAACAGCTCGTACTCAAGCAATGATTACAACTCAAAGTTCGAAACTTTTCTCAAGACCCACAAAGATATTGTAAAGGAGAACATAACTGAACTCGTTTGATCTAATACAACAACAGCTCGAACTTAATAATGCTTAAAGTTCAAAGTTCGAAACTTTACTCGAAACCCACAAAGGTATTGTAAAGGAGAACATAATAACTGAACTAGCTTGTTCTAATACAACAACAGCTCGAATTCAAGCAATGATTACAGCTCAAGGTTCGAAACGTTACTCAAACCCCACAAAGCTATTGTAAAGGAGAAGAACATAACTGGACTAGTTTGGTCTTATACAACAACAAGCTCGAACTCAAGTAACGATTACAGCACAAAGTTCGAATTTTTTCTCAAAACCCAACAAAGATAATGTAAAGGAAGAACATAACTGAACTAGTTTAGTCTCGAACTCAAGCAACGATTAAACCTCAAAGTTCAAACATTTCTCAAAACCCAACAAAGATATTGTAAGAGAAGAACATAACTAAACTAGTTTGGTCTCGAACTCAAAGCAAGGATTAAACCTCAAAGTTCGAAACTTTACTCAAAACCCAAGAAAGCTAATGTAAAAGAGAACATAACTGAACTAGTTTGGTCTCAAACTCAAGCAAATGACTAAACCTCAAGGTTCGAAACTTTACTCAAAACCCAACAAAGATAATGCAAACAAGAGACAAACCCTAGTGCCGATTTCGGAATTGAAGTCGTATTGTTCAATAGCAGCTGCGAAATCGTCTACAGTGAAAGCAACACCTTCCATGGGAGCAGTTCTGCAACGCTCGTAAGCATCTTCGAACATCTTCTTAAGCTCGAGCCTCTCTCTCGTCTGCCCGCTAGACATCGCAACGGCTGCGACAATCGTTGGAGAAACAGAGGAGGATTTGTTCTGTGGGAAGTTCGTGGCGGGTCTTCTCGAGAGCCGAGAGGAAGAGGAGGAGAGTGGAGAGCATCTTAGGCCCGTGAAATGCTGAGCTAAAGACGCCATTGTGTTCTTGTAGTCGGAAGAGTTGAGTTCCCACTCAGAGAGTTATCTCTTCTTCTTCTATGGTTGTTTTATCGTCGAGTTGGATAATGCTGATGATGCTGATCTGGACTTGGGCACAGTTTCAGTTTGATCGGACGGTCGAAACAACTGCTACACGTTGCATTTGAGACGGCGTGACGTTTATTATTCATCTAAACAGCGTGACGTTTATGCTAGGGGAGTAGAATTTAGAGAAAATGACTAAAATATACCTAAAAAATTTTTTATCACAAATATAGACCTTAACAATTAAAATGACAAAAATAGTACTTAAATGTTTTATTCAATATACATTTATACCACTTGGGTTAACTATATCTAGATTTTTTGTTTACAATTGAGAAGTGGGGTTTTGGAGATAGGGTTTCGAATTTAAAAAAAAAATTAAGAAAATCTAAAATTTTCAAAATAAAAAGTGTTATTTTGCTCATTTAATTTTTGATGTCTATTTTTGTGATAAAAACTTAAAAGATAGCTATTATAGAGAATTGCTCCTTATATGTTGTAAAGAATTTTAAAAGGTTTTTCATAGTAAAAATTTTGAAATTCTCTAAGATAGACCTTATAATTTTTTATCACAAATATAGACCTTAAAAATAAAAATGAGCAAAATAAACTTAAATGTTTTATAAAAAATAAATAAATATATACTTATACCTAACTAATCCTATACATTTTTGTTTAGAGTTGAGCAGTGAGATTTTGGGATACCTTTTCAAATTTAGAAAAATCAAAAAACAAACTTAAATTTTTTTAAAAAAGAAAAATAAATATTTTGGTCATTTTAATTTTTTGGTCATTTTAATTTTTAAATCTATCTTTGTGATAAAAACTTAAAAATGTATATTTGAGAGAATTACTCTCAAAAGGTTTATCAAAATATTTTAGTATATTAATTTTAAGAATCTAGAGGACATGCACAAGATTTAAAAAAAAAAAATTTACAAGTAAAATTGTATATAGAATTCAAATTCGAATTATACTAAATCATAGATTCATTAAAAATAAACTTGTAGAATAATATTAGATTATAGTAAGAATGTTAAAATCTATTAAATAATAACAATAGAATTGAAATTTGTAATAATCATTACACATTCACATCCCACTATCACAACCACTAAGAATTGAATAATTAAACCATATTGTTGAGAGAGCAACATCATCCGTACATAAAATTTTCTGATATTTCACCAAATGTTATAGCGATCTTCAGTCTTACACATGCATATGGAAATATATTTCAAATGTGTATGTAAACTCACCAAGAATCGACACTATACAGAGATGGAATTCATCAGGACTGATCAGTTTCTAGCATTGTGTAAGGAATATTATATATGCAGAAACCAATTACGAATCAACTCATTAATCATGCTATAAATAACAAATGTCAATAAGGAATCAACAGACGCTTTCATGTATACAGAGAAGGCATTTCATCAAAACTGATCAGGTTCCAGCATTGTGCAAGGAATATTATATATGCAGAAACCAATTTTTGAATCAACTCATTAATCATGCTATTAATAACAAATGTCGATATGGAATTAACAGAAGCTTTCAAGGTATTCTACTCGTTCTTCCAAGCATACAGAATCAACGAAAAACCAGAACTTTGAGACTTGGAGTTCGTTGTTGTTGTTGTCGCCATCATGTCCTGTGAGAAAGACAAGCTCTTATCCGAAGAAGAGTGACAAGTCCTGAACATAAACACTGCGTTTCCACCTGAAGGCATCCCAAAGAGCCAACTATGAACATCCCACAAAACTTCCACAGCCATTCTATTAACAACAATTGTATCATTGCCACGAAACTTCCACTTAAGCCTCTTCACCTGCAACAACGACTTCCCATCCACACGAACAATGAGACAAGGATCAGTGACACTCGTGTCACATTCAATCACAACATCATGGATTTTAACCCCATCTGAACAGAGCTGAGCCTTTGTTGCAAACTCTCTCTTACCAAAAACATGCTCTTTCTTGGCGATGAACACAGCACCTAGAGACGAAGGTGGTGAAGCATTAGTCTTCTTGTAAGCTTCTTTCTTCATATCACCAAGAAGCAGAACCATCTCTTTATCAACAACAACACCAACATAGAACCCTCCCAAAGCTTCAGGTCCTGAACCAAACTTCGCAGACGCAAGATCCCAAAAAACATCGATACTACACGAATAAGCCTCTAAGCTCTTAGACCCTCTTCGTTTAGTGAACAGCCAGGGCTTAATCTCGACTTTACAGAGACTCTGGTTACAAGAATCATCAACACCAACGGTCACACTCTGACCCATCAGAGTCTTGGCCCACGTCACAGTGATCAAACAACTCCTTCCTCGAATCCGGCACTGGTAGATACAAGTAACAAGATTCTGAGCGTTCTTCCCGGAGTTCGAAGACGATGAATCCGCAATTTGAACTCCATTTTCACCGAAGCAAGAAGGAAAATCCTTCATCTTCTATAAAAACTTCCAATTCCCACTCTCTGCGGAATTTCAACGAACACTTGGTGTGCAAACTGCGTAAAGGTAAAGACTTTTAACACAGATGAAGTTAATTAAGACAATGACGGAAGCTACAAGGTTGATAAGACAAAACCCACAAGGAAAAAAGTGAACTTTGCTTACCTGAAGATGAATCAAGAATGCATCGAAATCTGGAGAATCCTTACACAAGTCTTGGTGATTGGATCCGTTGTCTCCAAGGAAAGAGATTTTGATAAAAGCCGGAGAGTAAGGAGAGAGAGAGAGAATCGCTAAAGTAAAGGAAGAATATTTTTTCTTCGTTAAAAACTGAAAATGGAGACAGGTAGAGACAAAAAGGAGACTCCTTTCACTCTCAGTGTTATTACCGTATTTAAAACCGTGTAATAAAAACCTAACGAGAAATTGAGTCGACATGAATTGACATCCATGGAGAACTTTACCAAACAAACAAATAGAAATTGAATATTGAAAGTGAAGATTTTGCTTTTTTTTTGTATGAATTATTTTGTTGAAAATAATTTGGGTTCACATATCTTTGAAGATCAGGGGTTGTGTATTTGTGTGTGGTATTTTGACGACAATTTCTATGAAGTTTCCACATTATTGTAATTTTTCGTCACATATTTTTGAAGATAAAAATGTTAAGATTTTTACTGTTTTTAATTATACAGACTAAACCACTAGTTGCAAAAACAAGAAGAAGACAACTCTTAAACAAAAAATTAATGATATAATCTAAAGAATCAAAGAAGAGTTTTGAAGATCTTTGGATTCCTTTATCTTTCCAAATTAGGTAGATAACAACTTATAAAATGAGCTTGACAGCAGTGGTTAGGCAGCTCTGAGATTGCTGTCTCGGCAAATAGATCCAAGATATGATACTGAGGCAAAATAAACAACTTGAGGATTGGAATAGGTCAATCGAATATTCAAAAAATGCAAGCACGATTTCTGTGAATGTAAAAGTCTACGACGCCATTACATTAGTTTGTAAAAAAAAGACAGATTCTGGTCTTATAATTTTGGCCATTGCGCATATATATGCATGACTCTAAGACATGACATCATTTATTATACTGTATTTTTTATTGATAACTACAAGCATACATAGGGTTTTCATCTTCAAACTACGTACACATAAATGATAATCTTCCCGTTTCACAAAAAAAATCATTTTTACATATTTCATACGAATTAAAAGATTATAACATATATTATTATGCTATTATTTAATGTAAAATTAGTTAAATAAAAATATTTAAATAATTTATTTATTATTCAAAATGATTAAAATGAATTTAATATGTGAAATGACATTTAGAAAAAAAAATCTGAAATGACATTATTTTTATGAAAGCACTATATGAATAGTAAATGGATCAAGATGGTCCAAATGCAGTGCTTTGGTTCGACCAAATCATATGCTTCAACTACAAGAATTCATCATAACACAGAAAAAAGTCGAGGCAATTACTTTTTTTAATATTTGTAGAGAATTATATAAAAAGGAACAAGTACCGTTAAATTTTTCATAATCATCTGCCAGCTTCATCATCATCATTACAACCATTATCTCTCTCTCTCAATTTAGCCTCTTTTCCATCTCTCTCTCTAGTTGTTTTTTTGTTGTTGTAATATTCTAATAAATAAAAACGTATGATCCGGAGTCCAGAGATCGTATGGTGAATAGTTTAATGCGTTTCCTATTTAGATTTATGTGTTTTAGTTACAAAACTCCAAAAACAATGTTGTTTGCCAATGACTTCACTTTAATAAGTGTACAAGGCTAAAAATACGTTACTTTTGATATTTACTTGTCCAAAAAACATAAAGTGAAGACTACAGTTTTTTTCAAATAAAAACAATGTTGTTTGCCTTAATTACCATGTCTCTGTCGATATATACAAATTCAGTAATTTGTAAAATGATAACATAAATAACAGAATTTCAGACCAAGCATGATAATTTCATTGGTCACTATTGATTTATGTCCATGAACATATTTATTAAAAAATCTAAGAAAGTAATTTGGTTTTGTATGGAAGGAAATGGTATTCACGTGTATTCTTGTCCATGGGGGTAGTTGTCATGCGTTACAACCCAAATTTGGGGTCATCTTTCTTGGACTTTCTGTTACTTTTCTTGAATACCTTCGTTTTTTATTCCTTTTACATGTATGCACATGAATAACAGAAATACAATAAAAGATTTTTATGCTGGAAAACTAAATACTTTTGGTGACTGAAAAATAAATTAATTATAACTTTGTAGTTTAATATCTACATGTTGGAAATAAAAATTTCACCCGTAGCTTTTTTGGCCAAATAATTTGTTTACGCGTAGCTCATACTGCATGGAATATATTAAGCAGCAAGAAACAATTAACAATAATGAACGTACCTTTCATAAGTTTATGCACATGAGTTGATTGGTTTATGTGAAAATTTAGACAATCGAAATTTGACATATGGCGTGTCATATTGTGATATTGCATCGATGATAAACTCGTATCTGATGAATACACGTTATCAATATGCTTTTGAATCGATCGACCGACATTAACGTGAACTTTAAGGTCCTGATTTTGTACTAAACTATTATCCTCGTGAAGATCTGATTTTCTTGTGATCCCGTTTCCTTTATTGATTTATAAATTTAACGACTCACCTCTTCTCCCATCCACTTTGCGAGTAAAAGCCGTTTCTTTGGGATAATCAAAATTAAAAATTAAAAATTAAAAAATGTCAAAATGCATGCTTTTCTTGGGATATAAAAATGCATGCTTATTGCTTAATTCAAAGCTCCGTGATTTGCAAAAACATAACTTTTACAAGAATGCTATATGCGAGCCGAGACACCTGCTGCACGTTGACTGTTTATTACCAACGTTTTCTAATTCCAGTTTTGACGAGTGGCCAAATGCAATGTGTGCACTTGCCTAAAGCAGGCACTGGTTATAAGTGATTTATACTAATATTGTCGTTGCTATCAACCAGTTTCAGATGCACATGTTGGTCATTTCATAATTTGACTACTTATTTCCGTACACAGAACCACGGAATCACGAAACAAAGCCCGAATAAGCTATAGTAACATTTAAAGAAATATTGTATCATCAAATAAATTAGTTGTTTAATTTATCATTACCTGTAAAGTCTAAGGTGTCTTCTTCATCTTGATTCCTATCTATTTACTTTGTCATTTACGACAAAGTTTATAATTGAAAAGAATGAAACTAATATGAAAAATTTCAAAAAATATCGCGTAGTAGTTGGATAGCGTATCAACCGACGTGATTCCACTAGCGCATTTCACTAAAAGGTAATCTAAATATATCTAACAAAAACTTTCTGAGATGTTTGTTTTCTCTTCTTAATCTCTTCTTAATCTTACTTGCCATGTTCTTAAACTCTAAACTTAACTGCATAATGTTTTGTATAAACTCATAAGTATTAATCTTTTAAGTTAACCTATGATTTTTCTAAGAATATGCTAACCTGTGATTTGCATCAACATAGAGTTAAAAATTATTATATCAGTTGATGAATTTGAACATTTAGAAAATTGAATAATTACACTGTTTAATTCTTCCAACTATCTTTCTATAGTGAGACATTAATTTATTGTTGATTCAAACCCTGTTTCTTCCTTTTCAAAACTTGATATTTTAGAAAAAAATTTATTCCAAATTACACGATGATGTTTTTAATTTTCAGTGTAAAGTTATGATTTTTTTTTTATGTTATATGATCATTGGTATTTCTTTTGCATATTTTATTATTTGTAGAATTGTCGTAAAATGAGTAACTAATGACTTTTTGTATACCAAATGTAAACGACAATGTCTCTTAATTTATTTGTATAATCCTTAAATGTCATCAAACTTAGAGAGTATTCTTAAATTATATATTTTGCTATTATTTATCTGATATGCATAAAATATTCATTAATGTTAATACAACACATAATACAAACCACTGTGCATTAATACTAGTTATTTTTTTTTTTGTCAAAAAAATTAAAACGTTTCTTTCATGTATCCTTCAAATATTTATTTCATATCTCTTTTGATATAAAGCTGGGCATATATCTTAGGAAAATGTTTTATATATATAAAGATGGGTAGATGTACATCTTGTGGAAATGTAGTTTAATCCAACATTTATTCGTTGGAGATTAACGAAAGAAAAAGATAAAGCATTTGTTTCACTTTCACATTTGGACCACGCTCTGTGTGTCTTGTAACTGTCTTTGCCTACCTACAGCATTCATGAGATAGTTATGTTTCTCTTGTAAGAACAACTGAATAAAAATATCTAAAGCAAAACAAAAAAAAAAAGGAAAAGAAGATAGAAAAGAATCTTATTTACACGAGTTTAATGTTTATTTGCTTAACTAACTGTTAGTTTATTATGTCATAGATACAAAGATGATTTTAATTAACAAGAAAAAAACATTACTACATATATTTCTTTTCTTTATATTTTTCATTCATGTATATCTCTATTTTGTTCTCCCTAGGTAAATGATGAACCATCTCAGCTATCTTGGATCAGATTACTCTGAGTTTGTTAAATATGATCCTAGTGGAAGATATGGCAGAGTAAACTTCTCTCTCTCACTTAAGTTGATCATCTCTTTTGTTTTTCTGAGGTTCTTGTGTTTCTTGTTGTTGTACAGTACAGTGAAGTTCTTGGTAAAGGATCTTCAAAGACAGTGTAAGAATCCAATATCTCTAATCTATTAGCTTAAACCACTATGGTTTAAGATCATAACTCAAAAGTTTACTTTAATGGTTCTGAAAAAGACAAAACTGATTTTGTGGTTATGTTATTTGGATTTACAGTTACAGAGGATTTGATGAGTATGAAGGTATAGAAGTAGCATGGAACCAAGTAAAGCTCTATGACATTTTGCATAGTCCTCAAGAGCTTGAGAGGCTCTACAGTGAGATCGATCTCCTCATAAGAGCATTATGAAATTCTACACTTCTTGGGTCGATACCAAGAACCGAAAACATTAACTTCATCACTGAAATGTTCACTTCTGGTACCCTAAAACAGTAAGATTCTCTATCTATCTCATATCTAAGTTATGCTACCTGGTTTATAAAATTTGGTGTGTTCAGGTATAGGCTAAAGCACAAGAGAGTGAACATAAGAGCAGTGAAACATTGGTGTAGACAGATCTTGAGAGGCTTGAACTATCTTCATACACATGACCCTCCAGTGATACACAGAGATCTCAAGTGTGACAACATTTTTGTAAATGGCAACCAAGGAGAAGTCAAGATTGGTGATCTTGGTCTTGCTGCTATTTTACATAACTCACACGCTGCTCATTGTGTTGGTATGCAATAACTTCATTGCTTTGCTGAGTTTATAATTGGACTGTGATGCTGAGAGTTTTTTCATGCACTCTTAGGGACACCAGAGTTTATGGCTCCTGAAGTCTATGAAGAAGACTGATTACCCATACAGTGAGTGTACTCACCCTGCTCAGATTTACAGAAGAGTTATATCTGTGAGAATCTATTAAGTTAGATAGATTTCTGACCTAAAATTAATTAGTGATAAGTGGATTGGCTCATTTACGATCGTTTTAAACTTTCAATGTGGAAGATTTGTATTTGAGTTTAAGACTGTTGACATTCTCTTTCTCAGGGCAAGAAACCATACTCATTAGACAAGGTGAAGGATCATGAAGTTAGAGGGTTTGTAGAGAAATGCTTGGCCAGTGCGTCCCTTAGGCTCTCAGCTAGTGAACTACTAAACGACCATTTTCTTTGTGTTGATGAAAGTGAATATGAAAACAAAGAAAACTCATTTGTTTATGCTCACAACTCTAACGGTTACTACATCCACAATAGTGGAAACCAATGGGCTTACAACTGAGATAAAGAAGCAGAAGAGTATAATAAGAAGTTTGACAATGTTCATATAAGTATAAGAGGGAAGAGAAGAGATAGTGGTGATGGACTGTTCCTGAGTCTCAGAATCGCTGACAAGGAAGGTTTGTAACACTCTCTAAACCAAAAGGACACAATCTTTGGTCGGTTCTTGAACAGTGGAGAGACTAGCTGAAAGTTTTCCATGTCCTTTTGTTTACAATTTTTGCAGGGCTTGTGAGGAGCATATACTTTCCTTTTGACATGGAAAGTGACACAGCGATAAGCGTTGCAAGAGAGATGGTGGAAGAGCTCGAGTTGGATGATTATGATGTGACAAAGATAGCCAACATGATTGATGGAGAGATTGCTTCTCTGATTCCTAACTGGAGATCAGGCCTTGAGTTTGAGAGCATCTTCTGCAACTGCGCCTAGGTCATGGACTTTAACGTGATGCAGTGTATTGTAGAAATGAGTGTGGAGAGAAACATGGACTAAACTACTCTGCTGAAGAAGAGGGGTTTTCTTGTAGGTCAAGTAACGATATACACTGACTATAAATGTGGTTACAGAATCCAGATCCTTTCTCTTTTGACACCTTTCATAGACTGCTATGCCAACCCTAATGAAAAATAAACTTGAATTAGGAGAGATTCAAGGATCAACAGCTGAGAAACCTAGCGGGAGGAGACTTCAAGCGAGAGGAGTATCGAGCTTTGGGAAAGCTTTACTCCCAAGAAAACTAACAATATGACATTTTTAGCTTCTTGTTGATGCTTTTCATAAGTTTTTTTTGTTAATATGTGTTGAATGGAAATATATAGAGTTTATGTTGACAAACCAAGAAAATCTCAGTTATTCCTTAACTATAGGCTATATATAGTTCACTAATTCTTAAACTCAATTTTCTCATTTCTGAAAAAAAAACCTTTTGCGTTTATCATAATTCTGTTTGTAAAGTTTAAACGCAAATGCATTTGATCTTGAATTAACATAGCAAAATCATAAAAGACAAATTCAAACGCAAACACAACATTCACAAAGTCGTGTAATCATTTGAATGGGCTTTTTCATCTGGTTAGCCCATCTAACTAAAGCCCAGTAAGAAAAGAAAACCTAAAAACAACTGAAAATGAGAGCTATATATCATCAGCTAGGGTTTTAACTGCTGCTTTCAGAAGCCGCAGCTAGAGAGAGTAAGCAAACTCGTAGATTAATCACAACCGTGTGATCTCGGAGGAAACGTAGCAGCCAGCAGCCATGGCGGAGAAAGCAGTCACCATCAGGACAAGGAAGTTCATGACCAACAGACTTCTCTCCAGGAAACAGTTTGTTAGTTTCAACTTCCCCTCAACACTTTCTCTCTCTCATGTTTCATATTATTCGCCACTGAAATGAACCAAATAAGAAAAAAAATCTTAGGTGAGAAGATACATAGGTCTGATGCTTAGTATTAATGTTACATTTCAATAGAGACACAAACTCTCACATTAACAAATTGTTCTAAAGACAAGAAAGCTATTAAAAGTTTGAAACTTTCAATCATTTTGTCACATAAGATTATGTTTATTAGTTAGTGACAGTGGCTTATTGTGATGAATGTAGGTTATTGATGTTCTTCACCCAGGAAGAGCTAATGTTTCAAAGGTATGCTTTTCTAGCTTTTGCAATCTTTAAAGTGTTTTCTTTGAGTGGATTCTTATTGTTATTTTTGTTTTTTATTTGGATTTTGTTGAAGGCTGAGCTAAAGGAGAAGTTGGCAAGGATGTACGAGGTTAAGGACCCAAATGCAATCTTTGTATTCAAATTCAGAACCCATTTTGGAGGTGGAAAATCTTCTGGGTTTGGTTTGATCTATGACAATGTCGAGAGTGCCAAGAAGTTTGAGCCCAAGTACAGACTGATCAGGGTACAATACTATTTTCTGTCTGGCCTAGTTTTTAGTCTATAGTGCTTTCCTTTATGTGAAAAGATGAGGCAATATCAGACCCATAAATATCTTTAAAACATTCATAGTTGATTGAATCTTGTTTGCGTTTAACAGAATGGACTTGACACCAAGATTGAGAAGTCAAGGAAACAAATTAAGGAGAGGAAGAACAGGGCTAAGAAAATCCGTGGTGTTAAGAAGGTGAGACACTATCTTGAAACCTTATCATCTGTAGTTGTTTCTCTTTTTTTTTTTATTAACAGTTGTGTGTGTGTGTGTGTGTGTGTAGACCAAGGCTGGAGACCCCAAGAAGAAGTGAGGTGTTAAAAGACAGGGGAAGCATTTTGGGTTTTGTTCTGGCATCATCCCTTCTTTTATTTCGATTTTGTCCTTTTTCAATGTCACACTGTTATGTCTCGGTTTGCATTATTATGCGTTAAAGCTTTTTAGAGAATCATGTGCTAAAGATTTTGCTGAATACATTTATTTGAAAACTTTGTTGTCTCCTTTGCTAATTCCTCTCAAAATTCCAATGGTGTGCGCGCCATATGAGCTTATATAGCTTTAGTCTTGTTTTTGTTTATATAAACATGTTTGATTGCTTTTGCGTTTCGGTGACAGAGAATGTTTCTTCTGATTACAAGAGTTTCCCCAGATTAAAAACATTTGGGACGATTGTATGTGTTGTCCGAGGAGCCTTGCGTACAATTAAGATGCTAGTACGCTTTCATGTGAGCTGAGCCTGAGAGTATAGTTGGCTTTTTGACTTTTAAGACATGATCAAGGGTTCAACTAAACCGCAACAACCAAAGCACGGGAACGTGTCTGGACCACTTATGCCTGCAACGCCCAGTCATAATCTTTCCATAAATCCCGAAACTATCCTTGCTAGTGTCGTAGATTCTTTTTCCTCATGCCCTACAACCAGCGCAACCGTATCAGTCCTCGTAATACGAGCTGATCAAGTCGAAGCTTCAGTTTCAGTTCAACAAGAGCCAGCTGGTGGAGAAGCTTCGTAGGTTGAACAAGTATAGAAACGTGATGAGCAAGATAGGTTTAGGTAAAGAGGTGCACTTAAAGATTCTTGAGTTGGAAGTGTACTCGAGGAGATTAGAATTGGTTCAAGAGAAGATTAGATCTACATTGCATGAGTTAAAGACAATGCTTAGTGGAGGATGATGCATAAGGAAGATCTATAACGGGTTCTTGTAAAGTCTAAGTTATGTGCAAGATGAAGAACAAGGAAGATGTCCTGTGATATGGTGGTGAAGTATAGTTAGCAAGTTAGAGCACCTCCAATGGGGTTCTACCCATTAGAGTTCTAAAAATACATATATATGTATGTGTTATATAAGTGTATGTAGGTATGCAGTCCACAAAATAATATAGAACTTATATCTAAAAGTCTTAAAAACAAATTTTTTAAAACCTTTGGATAGGAGTTCAATACTATATTGTGGACTCCACATTTACATACACATATATAACACATGTATATATGTATATACATTTTTAGAATTCCAATGGGTAGAACATCCCATTAGAGGTGCTCTTATAAACTAATAATCTGAGTACTAAATTATTGATGGTCATGAAATCTTTCTAGTTTTTTTTTAGAGTTTTGCTTCTTTTTTTTCCTTGATTGGTTTTTTGTCCATTAGGGATGTGGATGATGGTGGGGTTGTGTGCATAACCTTTGTATTAGTCTATTAGATTATAGTTTTTTGTTTGGTAGAGTCACTAGTTCAATAAAAACAAAAAGTCTCTTTTAGCTATTTATATTAAAAAGTAAGCAATAATGTTTATGTGATGCATGTATGATAAACACTATTATAGAACTCTTTTCTTAGTGTATTTGATGATCAACTGTAGATTTAAGTGTGGCCTTACACTCAGAACTTAACACAAGGACTTGGGACCTATGCCGATTCTTTAGATTTTCTTTTAGTGGTTGACGTTAAAGAGACTGTGTCTCTATTGTGTTTGTGGTGTAAATAAAACTACACTATATTTGAGTATCCAGAAGAAAGATTACGTTTGCATATCTCCTAAAGAACAGAAAGGGTGGATAATCTTTTTGATGTTATCATGACATTGAAGAAAGAATGTGTGAAACGCCTTTTGATTTTGCTGTTTGTTGTTTTTCTTCTCTCCAATAAAAAAACAAATAGAAAAATAAAAAGAGCGTGGCTCGTGACATAAAGGCGGTTGCCTCACAACTTTGTCTCCACTCAAACAGAGTCCTTATATGTTGTCATCATTCAAGGACAACCTTAAGTAGATGTCGTCTCCATTGAAGCATAGCCTTAGATGTCACATTTCAAAACTTAGCCTTAGGTGTCATTTTCGATCTTCGTAATGGGCACAAACTTTGTCTTTATGCTTCACTATTCACGTACGAGTGGTCTTCACCACATGGGTTCTTAGCACTACAACATACCTCCATTTTTTTCAGTTCATCCTCAATAATTGAACTGAAAAACAACAAAATAAAAGAAATCTTCAATGACAATTCATGTCTTACTCAAAATTAGAAAGATGAGTAGTTTGTAATAAACTTATTCTTCAAACTATTTCTTTTTATAATAGAACAAAACTATAAAGTCACAAATTTCAGAGATAAAGATTAGTTATCATTCTTTGGTTAAAAAAAAAAAAAGATTAGTTATCATTCTTGTGTATGATATACTAGAAAAGAATATGTTAATACCATTGGTAATGTTTTATTTTTCTGTTTGTATGTGAGGTCAAGATTTAGTTCAAAGATTGTCTTACGTACAGAAAGAATTGGTTAGATTGAGACTTGATTGTGTTTTTTTCTCCCTTCATTATCTCTGCTTTTAACCATATATAAGATAATACTATTCTGTTGTACAACCACTCAATACTAATCTACATATATATATAAGAAATGTATGTATGTGGTTTTAGACTTAGCGGTCTTTTGTCTCATCTTTCATCTCATCTTTCATTGATACTTTCCTCAGAACTATGAAGGTGCGACATGTTTACATATTTCTAGCTTCTTTCTGGTTTATATCCGTTACTATAAAAGTATCATTTAGCTTTGCTTTGTAAGTGTTATATGTTTGATTTGTTTTAGGCACAATAGTAAAATATCTCATTACCATTTTCTTGATTTTTGGTATCAAATTATCTGGTTTTCAATGTTCAGACTGAGCTCAGAGCTTGTTATGTTCTTTGTTACTCAAGAAATAAAGTCTCTCTATTCATTTTTTTTTTGTCTCTAAATCTACTTTTGACCATGTCTCACTAATTCCAAGAGTTGTGGCCAATTCTTGCAGGAGTTTCCAAGAAAGACCAGCATGGAAGAACGGCACATGATCAAGAATGATGTCACAGAAGTAAAAACATCTCTAGTTTATTATATACAATTTTCTTTCTTTGAATAAAGAATATGTATAAAACACCTATATATGTTTTTTGCATTTGGTGCAGTTGATTGGTAACACACCAATGGTGTATCTGAATAAAATTGTTGATGGTTGTGTTGCCCGTATTGCCGCCAAGCTTGAGATGATGGAGCCTTGCTCTAGCATAAAAGACAGAATCGCTTATAGTATGATCAAAGATGCAGAAGACAAAGGATTGATTACTCCTGGAAAGGTTTAATATAAACACTATTATTAATTTAACATTCATTGTAAAAATTTTATTTTTTTAATCCAATTTAACATTCATTCAAAAAAAAAAATACTATTATTATTCTTCTAACTTTTCTTGTTTAATACAATTTAAACACACTAAGCTATGATTAAACACACAAAGCTATAATATCTCCATGTTTTTGTTCAGAGTACATTGATTGAGGCAACGGGTGGTAACACTGGGATTGGTTTAGCAAGCATAGGAGCTGCAAAAGGCTATAAAGTGATACTTTTGATGCCTTCAACGATGAGCTTAGAGAGGAGAATCATTCTGAGAGCATTAGGTGCAGAGGTTCATCTCACAGATACAAACATAGGCATTAAAGGAATGTTAGAGAAAGCTGAAGAGATATTAAGCAAAACTCCTGGTGGTTACATACCACACCAGTTTCTAAATCCTGAGAACCCTGAGGTCTGTTTATAATATCATACTCTCTCTACTCTCTTTTGTTTTTGTTTCTTTATATATGGTTGGAATCAAGATATTGTTTCTTGCAGATTCATTACAGAACCACTGGTCCAGAGATATGGAGAGACTCAGCAGGGAAAGTAGATATTTTGGTCGCTGGTGTTGGAACTGGTGGAACGGTTAGTGGGACAGGGAAGTTTCTTAAGAAGATGAACAAAAACATTAAGGTGCAGAAACTTTACTATTGCAATGAAATGACAACGTTTTTTAAGATGACTGGTAAAACGGATTTTTCTAATGATAATTTTGTTATATTCTTGAACAATAGGTTTGTGTAGTGGAACCTACAGAAAGTGCTGTACTTAGTGGAGGAGAACCAGGTGAGGAAACAAAAAAACATTACTCTATCTTAGGACCGGTCATAAGATTGGTTGTAGAATTTTAAACGTATATTATTAAAAATATATATTTTAAAAAATGTAAATATCTTAATCTCCGTGTAATCAAACTAAAATATCTTATAAAAAGACACGGATAGAATATAAAATGAAAACCAAATGATCATACATATATATTTTTTTATTAATATTTGACAACCGAATGATATATACACATTAGCTATTTAAATTTGGTGATTAGAATACTGCTTTAACGCAAAACCCGTCCTGCTCTCTTGTCCCACCCAAGTTAGAGTTCGTGATTATCTCTAACATAATAACAATACTTGTTTAACAATTTGTAGGTCCACATTTGATCCAGGGGATTGGTCCTGGTGTCGTTCCAACTAATTTGGATTTAAGCATTGTTGATGAAGTCATTCAGGTAAGTAGACGACATTTATCTATTTTCTTGAATCTTGAGAAAATGTTTCTGAGACTTGTAATCTTTTTGTTAATTCAGGTGACAAGTGAGGAAGCTATTGAAACAGCCAAGCTTCTTGCTCTCAAAGAAGGATTGTTGGTACTATTGGTTTAACCTTCTTCTTTGTCGGTATAAAGTTTAAACCGGCAATTAAAAACAAACCAAGTTTATGTTAAAACGCAATTATTATTCATTTTGTAGGTGGGAATATCGTCAGGGGCAGCAGCAGCTGCTGCGTTGAAGGTTGCTAAACGGCCAGAAAACGCAGGCAAACTTATTGCGGTAAGCAGAACCGTTGGCCCTCGACCATATGGGCCCAAAGTTTAAAGGGCCCATTTAATAAACTGATTTAAACCGTAATTGAACCGAGATAACTATTCCGGTTATCGATTTTGTTTGCAGGTGATTTTTCCCAGTGGAGGAGAGCGTTATTTATCAACAGAACTGTTTGAGTCGGTTAGATATGAAGCAGAGCATTTGTCGATTGAATGAGTGATGAATGTGTGACTTGGTTTGGTTTTGGTACGAGATTACAGTTTGAGTCTTGCAAGTCATTGTATAATCTGTAGAAGTTACATATTCAATGGCGAATAATTATAGTTGTTCTTCATGTTGAAACAATTTTTACAAGTCTAATGAGCAAAGTTAAGTATGTGTGAAATAGAATTTTATATATCTATTGGGTTGAATTAAAATATAATATAATTGAAGTAAATGTTTTAATTTATATGGAGAAAGTCCATTCCATTTTCTTTGTCTATGGACTAAGTAAAATAATGGAAATTTTTTTTTACTAAGTTAATGACTAAGGTAAATCTATTTGGTGACAAATGATTTAAGCTAAATAAATTTAGTGACAAAGCTATCTTAATAACCAAGTTATGCAACTTAGTGACAAATGTCTAAACTAAAATACATTTGATGACTAATCAACTTAATTTAGTGACAAATATCTAAATTAAAATACATTTGATGATTAATTAAGGTGACTTAATGACAAATAACTTAAATAAAGTACACTTGGTAATTAATCAAAGTGACTTAGTTACAAGTGGCAAAAGTTTATCAAATTTATTGACAAATATGTAAATTATTAAGACTTATTATTGGGTTCACCTATGTGTTATTATATATTTGATATCTTTAAAAAAAAAAGAAACAAAATCTTGTGAAGTTATATTATGTTTTTAAAATAAAAATAACAGTAAAAAATAAAAATAATAATAGTAATAACAGCAAAAATAAAAATAATTCTTTTAAAAAATATTTTTAACATTATATTATGTTTTTAAATAAAAGAATAAAAAAATAGTAATAATTGTAAAAAAAACAATTTAAAAAAAAAATTTTAATATATTTTTAAAATGAAAACAAAATATTGTTACATTATATTATTTTAAAAAATAAAAAGATAAAAATAAATAAAATATAGTATAATTGGTTAGTATTAACTTTTTTGATTTAATATTTAAGATCTTTTTCAAAGGTTTATAATTTACCCAAAATTTTATTTCCTTTTTAAAAAAAAATATCAAATATCAAATAATATCATACTATTGGTTGGTGAACCTAGATGTTCATCCTAGGGGTGAATCCAAGAATAACTCAATAATTAATGACTAAACTTTGTAAATCTCTCCTATAAATAGATATCTTATCTCTCCATTAAAAAAAAAGAAGGGAAACACATTTTCATATATTTGTGAACTCAAGAACTCATTCATACAAAGTTTCAGCAATATCCCAACTCTTTCAAAGTAAGTCTCAAGTCTTTTAAAGTATAGCATGATTGTTATGTTTGTCGATTCTGTTTTGGGTGATACAAAACCATCTCACTTACAAACGATTTATTGTGTTAAAAAAAATGTTAATATTATGATTTCACGTATTCGTTTTTTCCATATCAGTCTTCAACGTTAATTATCGCTTTATATTATTGTTATCATCATATTTTGATTCCTACTTTTCAATCTGAATTCTCGGGTCCTAACACTTCATCAACTCTTCCCACTGTAACCCGGTCTAAAACTGTTTAAAGATGATCCTAATCTATCTTAGTAGATTTTAAATCTTATCAAACGAAAGAATATGCGCATCTTGGAATATGAAGAAAATGAAGCTGTTACAGTTTATAAATATTTTAAATAATAGAACCCATCTAGAGTTTTCAGCTGTTATATTCACACTACGCAACATGACAGAAGACATTTTGACGTTTGATTTTATCACTCACATTATTCATGCCAAACTCGTCTTAATACTTCACATCGTGTCGTGTGCATCACAGAGGTCCACATGTGAACCGTAACGTATCATAAACAAATCTTTTTTAAACCATATTATATTCACATATATAAATTATCCTTCAACCACTTCATACTATATAATATGTCTTTGTATATATACAGTCTGGTGTGGATTTAGAGAATCATCGGCTCTTCGTCACTGATACTATCCTTCAGGTTTGACTTTGTTTTTCGGGTTCCTTTTATCCATTAAAACACCATGCAGTTCTGCTCTGTTCCTGCTACTTTGGTGATTGTGTGTCATATTCTTTGAATCTCAGACTAAATCTGCAGGAGTTTCAAAGAGGGGATTACACATGGAACGTTGCTTGATCAAGAAAGATGTCTCTGAAGTAATAACTCTCTAGTTTTATATTTTTTTCTTCCCTCTGAATTAATCTTCTTTTATTGCAATAAAGAACATGTCTTAAACCATTTGCTCTGTTCTGTTTTTTTTTTGGAATTATGTACAGTTGATAGGTAACACACCAATGGTGTACCTGAACAGAATTGTTGACGGCTGTGTAGCTCGAATAGCTGCCAAGCTTGAGATGATGCAGCCTTGCTCTAGCGTTAAAGACAGAATCGCTTATAGTATGATCAAAGATGCAGAAGACAAAGGATTGATTAAGCCTGGAGAGGTTTAATAAAAACAAACTTCAAGAAAACCATATAACCTCTCTCTCTCAATATATCATTAATATAGTTTTATTGTTTTTCTTGGTTTAGAGTACATTGATAGAGCCAACAGCTGGTAACACTGGGATAGGTTTAGCCTGCATAGGAGCAGCAAAAGGATACAAAGTAACCCTTCTGATGCCTTCAACAATGAGCTTAGAGAGGAGAATCATTCTAAAAGCTTTAGGTGCAGAGCTTCATCTCACAGATATGAGCATAGGTATTAAAGGACTGTTGGAGAAAACTGAAGAGATACTAAACAAAACTCCTGGTGGTTTTGTTCCACAACAGTTTGAAAATCCTGCAAACCCTGAGGTTAATTAAGTCTATGTTCTTTGAGTAATCTCTTTCTCTTGCTCTACTAATTAATGATGTGTGTTGTTGCAGATTCATTACCAAACCACTGGTCCTGAGATATGGAGAGACTCAGCAGGGAAAGTAGATATTTTCATTGCTGGTGTTGGAACTGGTGGAACGGTTACTGGAGTTGGGAAGTTCCTCAAGGAGATGAATAAAGACATTAAGGTTCAAAAACTTCAATAGTTCTTGAAAACTAACTCTATATATCAGTTTTTTCAAGAAAAGTATGTCACATTTTGTTACATTCTTGAGCAACAGGTTTGTGTAGTGGAACCTACAGAGAGTCCGGTACTCAGTGGAGGAGAGCCAGGTAAGACCTTTGCATTTTTAAAAATCGGTTTAGATGGCGCCTAAGCGTTCTTCAAGTCGGCAAACCGGACCTAAGCAAAACGACTTTTAAAAATTTAAGCGTTCAAAAAATCGGTCTAGATGTCCGCCTATTCAAAAAATCGGTCTATATGTCCGCCTAATCAATAATCTCATATAAAGCGTTAACTAAGCATAACGATTTCTTGAATTATTGTTGATTGATAATATTTGTAGGTCCACATTTGATCCAAGGAATTGGTGCTGGTATCATCCCAGCCAATTTGGACTTAAGCATTGTTGATGAGATCATTCAAGTAAGTAGACAAGGTTCATCTACTTCCTTGGATTTTGAAACAATGTTTCTGAGACTTGTAATCTTTTTTTTTTACTCAGGTGACTGGTGAGGAATCTATAGAAACAGCCAAGCTTCTTGCTCTCAAAGAAGGGTTGCTGGTACAATTTGTTTAACTTTCTTTTCTCAGTGTATAAACAATGAAAACGTATTGTGATCAATGAGATAATTTTGGCAGGTGGGAATATCCTCTGGAGCTGCAGCAGCGGCTGCGTTGAAGGTTGCAAAGCGGCCAGAAAACGCAGGGAAACTCATTGCGGTAAATTTAAGCTTTTGTTTCTAACTGAACATAAATGTTTTGAGTTTGATTATGAAATGTTCCGGTTCTTGTCTGGTTTGTAGGTGATTTTTCCAAGTGGAGGAGAACGTTATTTATCAACCAAACTGTTTGATTCTGTTAGACATGAAGCAGAGAATTTGCCGGTTGAATGAGTGGCAAATGTGTGATTTGATTTGGTTTAGTTTGGTAAGCAATGTTGGTACTAGATTACTGTTTGATTGTTACAGGTCATTGTAATATCTGTAATCTGTAATAGTTACATATTAGATGATGAATCATTATCTTGCATAAATCTGATCAAACTAAAAGAATATGCCTATCTTGAGCTAATATATCACTAATTACATGAATTATATGGCCAAAAAACAGAACTATATTTTCTTTTTGTCAGAAAATAAATTGGACATTCTAATCCGATAATCTAGCAGTAAAACTCAGCCATTTTTAAACAGAAACGACCCAGAAAACGACTCGATTCTATTTAACCCACTCAATCCAATATAACTGATAGATTTTTGTTGATTTGAATCGGTTCATTTGAATATAATCCGTTTTATTTGGCTTGGTCCACTTTTCTAGCAATAAAAGATAGTTATAATAACCATAATCGCGTTTGTGACAAAAAAAAAAAAAAAAAAAAAAAAAAAAAACCATAATCGCGTTGGTTCAAATGGTAAAAGTATTTGGACTTTGAAAACCTTTAAAATTCTCACGGTTATAATGTTATTTATGTAACACATTTTATGTTAGTCTTATAGTTTATGTAATTAGTACTGCGTAGATATGTGAATATGTGATTCTTAGTAGTTGCTGTAGTTGACAACTATTTATGTTAGTCATATAGTTTATGTAGTTAGTACTGCCTAGAAATGTGAATATGTGATTGTTTATAGTTGCTGTAGGCCCCAACTTTTTTATATTATCCAAGTTGATTAGAATCCTAGCTGGATTGCATACATTTAGTGATTTAATTAGTAAGACCATGACGCTTATAAATTTTAAATAATAGTATTAGATGTTATCTTACATTAAACAAATACATGTTAACGTTTTTTTCAGAGTACGCAACATGACACAAGACACAGTTCCAAATAAAAAGAAAAATATGACTGAAGACTTATAGACGTCTTTTTTTTCTGACTGAAGACGTTATCATTTTCTCACTCACACTACCCATGCAGTGTGCTGTGTGCATCACATGTGCACATGTGAACCTATCATAAAAAAAACCCTGTAAGTAACCATATTATATACACAGAATTATAAATATATTATCGTACAACCACTCTATACTATATAATATGACATGTCTCTGTATATATAAAGTCTGGTGTGGAGTGAGAGAATCATCTGCTCATTTTCTCTTCGTCACTGACTGACACTATCCTTCAAACTTAGAAAGGTTTGACATTATTTTTAGGTTCTTTCTGGTTTATCCATAACACATCATGTAGTTCTTCTTTAAATGTCAAGTCAAATCTGCAGGAGTTTCAAGTGGGGACCAACATGGAAGATCATTGCTTGATAAAGAAAGATGTCACTGAAGTAATAACTCTCTAGTTTTATATTTTTCCTCCCCTCTGAATCAATCTGCTTTCTTGCAATAAAGAACATTTCTAAAAGCATTTGGTCTGTTTTTGCATTTGGTGCAGTTGATTGGTAACACACCAATGGTGTATCTGAACAAAATTGTTGACGGCTGTGTAGCTCGTATTGCTGCCAAGCTTGAAATGATGCAGCCTTGCTCTAGCGTCAAAGACAGAATCGCTTATAATATGATCAAAGATGCAGAAGACAAAGGATTAATTAAGCCAGGAGAGGTTCAATAAAAACAATATAACCTCTCTCTCTCTATATATATATCATTAATGTGGTTTATTGTTTTTCTTGGTTTAGAGTACATTGATAGAGCCAACGGCTGGTAACACTGGGATTGGTTTAGCCTGCATAGGAGCAGCAAGAGGCTATAAAGTAACTCTTCTGATGCCTTCATCGATGAGTTTAGAGAGGAGAATCATTCTAAAAGCTTTAGGTGCAGAGCTTCATCTCACAGATAGGAGTATAGGCATTAACGGAATGTTGGAAAAAGCTGAAGAGATATTAAGCAAAACTCCTGGTGGTTTCATTCCACAGCAGTTTGAAAACCCTGCAAACCCTGAGGTTAATTAAGTCTATGTTCTTTGACTACTCTCTTTCTCTTGCTCTCTACTAATGATTTGTTTCTTGCAGATTCATTACAGAACCACTGGTCCAGAGATATGGAGAGACTCAGCAGGGAAAGTAGATATATTGGTTGCTGGTGTTGGAACTGGTGGAACCGTTAGTGGAACAGGGAAGTTTCTCAAGGAGATGAATAAAGACATTAAGGTGCAAAAAACTCACTAGTTATTGTAGTTCAAGAAAAGTATATAATAACCTTTTGTTACATTCTTGAGCAACAGGTTTGTGCAGTGGAACCTGCAGAGAGTCCAGTACTCAGTGGAGGAGAACCAGGTGAGCCAAGAAACATTGTTTCCTTCGTCTTCCACTAGAGTCTTACATTTCTAATTATAGTATATGCTTTTATATTTGTAGGTCGACATTTGATCCAAGGGATTGGCTCTGGTATCATCCCAGCTAATTTGGACTTAACTATTATTGATGAAATCATTCAAGTAAGTAGAAGAGATTCATCTACTTTCTTGAATCTTGAAACAATGTTTCTCAGACTTGTAGACATTTTTGATTCAGGTGTCAGGTGAGGAAGCTGTTGAAACCGCCAGGCTTCTTGCTCTCAAAGAAGGGCTGTTGGTACGTTCTTCTCTCAGTGTATAAAACTATGAAACATAGGAGTTTGTTGTGTTCAAATGTGATAATCTTGCAGGTGGGAATATCCTCTGGAGCTGCAGCTGCTGCAGCGTTGAAGGTTGCAAAGCGGCCAGAAAACGCAGGGAAACTCATTGCGGTAAAGCTTCTTTTTCTTTTTCTCTCTGACTAAAACATAAATGTTTTGAGTTAGATTATGAAATGTTCTGGTTCTTGTCTGGTTTGCAGGTGGTTTTTCCCAGTGGAGGAGAACGTTATTTATCAACCACACTGTTTGATTCTGTTAGATATGAAGCAGAGAATTTGCCGGTTGAATGAGTAGCCATTTGTGATTCTGTTTGGTTTTGGCACAAGATGTTTGTACCAAGATTACAGTTTGGTTGTTCCTGATCAATAAAGTTCATCCTATAAATGAGCATCAATAAAACAAATAAATAAAATGAAAGAAAGTATTGATTTCAAGATTTAGATGGATTGGTTACTCCAAGAAAGATTATAAACTGATCTTCTGTAGTGTCTTCAATAATGAGCCTAGAGAGGAAAAATCTTCTTCACAAGTGAATGAGAACCTTAAGCAAATTACCATGTGAAAAACAATAACTTAAACCTTCAGATTTTGTTTAGTAGAAAGTAAACAATATATTATGTCAGTATTAAAAACAAAAACACACCAAAACTGTTTGACATTACACAAATACCATTGGAATTAAAACCGTTTTAATTCCTCTTTCCCTTGTTTTTTCTACTTGGAACTACAGTCCAGCCATCATCAGATTTTGGTTCATCAACCGGCATGGCTTCTTGTTGCAGGTTTGAGGATTGCTCAGATGCATCCACCATCATATCTGTGCTTTGATCATTGCTCATGTCTGTATCCTCATCATCTTCATCATCACTCTCCCCATCATCCTCATCATTACCATTTGAAACCTACAATACCAAGAGAGCCTCATTTCCCAATCTCAAAAATGATCCTAACCAAACCACCAATGTATAAAATTTGAAATACTCTCACAATCACCAAAACTTTATAACTAATGAAATCAAGCAGTACCAAGAGAGCCACATTAACTAATCTCAGAAATGATCCTAACCAAACCACCAATGTATAAAATTTTGAAATACTCTCACAATCACCAAAAACTTTATAACTAATGAAATCAAGCAGTACCAAGAGAGCCACATTACCTAATCTCAGAAACGATCCTAACCAAACCACCAATGTATAAAATTTTGAAATACTCTCACAATCACTACTTTATAACTAATGAAATCAAGCAGTACCAAGAGAGCCTCATTTCTTAATCTCAGAAACGAACCTAACCAAACCACCAATGTATAAAATTTAAAAATACTCTCACATCACCAAAACTTTATAACTAATGAAATCAAGCACTACCAAGAGAGCCACATTACCTAATCTCAGAAATGATCTTAACCAAACCACCAATGTATAAAATTTAAAAATACTCTCACAATCACCAAAACTTTATAACTAATGAAATCAGTGGACTAGAGAGAATGTCTGAAAATACAAGTTACAAACCTTGACAACAGTTGCTTTCGTCTGAGAACTAGTTACCCTCAGCTTCTCAACCCTTTCGTAGTTGCCTTCAAGACATTCATAATACAAATCTAGTAACGTATCTGTCACCTTTACATCACAAAGGAAACACTATCAGCACCCAAAAAAAAAAAAAAATTACCAATAAAAATCCAAAAAAACTATATACCTCCTCAAGACTTCCATCATCAGCCATAGTGTTTAACTCATTAAGACCATTCTCTAGAATATCAGCTAACCCATCAAAACCCATTGTTGGATCTACAAGAAAGTCATCATCTTTAATAAAAAAAACACACACCAAATTCTCTTAATAAATTAAAAAATCGAAACTTTAAATGGAAAAGTTTATAAAGATGAAACCTTTGAGACGGATGAAGTAATCAAGAACATTGGAAACGGTGCGGTTGGCTTTCAGATGAGAGTCTCGACCGCCCCAACCGTTATCTACGGCGGCTCTCATGGCAGTCCACCGTGAAAGTATCAAACCTATTCCTTCGTTTAAAACGGCCTTCTCCTCCACAGTCAACATCGCTGGTCCACTTGGTCTTGATTCCATTCTTCTTCTCTCTATTGATCAAATAAGAACAGTGAGATTATTACTGAGCTAACAAAGTCAAAATTCAGACAACGGATTCAAGGAGACAAGAAAGGTTTAAACTTTGTGAGATATGTAATAGAGTCAAAATTAGAAAAAAAAACACTGAGATCATTACTGAGCTAACAAAGTCAAAATTCAGACAACAGATTCAAGGAGACAAGAAAAGGCTCAAACTTTGTGAGATATGTAATAGAAAGAGAAAAAGAGAGAGAGATAAAAAGAAACACCTGTTAAACGGTCGGAAACAGAGTATTGTCGGAACGCCGGCGAGAAAGTGAGCGACGGCGGAGTAAAGGAAGTGAATTGTTTCTTGAGTGAAGCTGAAAACTTTGAAGCCCTGATTAATACCCTAACCGATTGATCGAAACTAAGCTAAACCAGTGAACAGAATTAACTCGGTTTACTGTTTCCACACTCAATTTATTTGGTTTTTGTCAATTTTTAAATTATACACGTGTCGGATTTGTATTGGCTAGTTGGCTGGGGGTTCAATGAGGAGAGAAAGTCAAGGAGAGCCCTTGTTCTGATTGTGTTTAGAGAGAATCACAGAAATGAATGGCTGGCTCATGCAAAAACTATATAAAGTTCAAAAACATTACATAAAATGTGTTGCGTGGAAAACAAGGATAAGAGATAATTTAGGGTTGACCCTCAAAAAGGAAGAAGAAATGAGCCAACAGCAGCTGGAGAAACCGATAAGTGATCATGACGTAAAAGAAGAGGCGGCGGTGACGGAGAGAAGCATTGTCACGGCGGAAGACAAAGAGAAAGGTGTGGTGGCCGATGGACAGGTCCCATATATAATGTTGTTACATTCAATATATTTACATATATACGTCTTGTTACAACCAAAACATAAATGAACGTTTTAACTTTGAAGGCAAGCAAGGAAGAGGTGGTAGCGAACCCTCCGGCATCAGAAGGAACCATAACGATCGGTGAGGCTTTAGGCGGCTGTTCTCACGGCAGGGAATAAGCCGGTGGAGTGGAGTGACGCAGCGGCTATACAAGCGGCTGAGGTTAGAGCCACGGGAAGGACCAACATCATGCCAGGAGGTGTTGCAGCTTCGGCTCAATCAGCTGCCACTCTCAATGCTAGAGCTAACTCTGAGGATGACAAGACTACCCTCGCCGTTGTCCTCGCGGTGAGTAGAATACTAGAAATGGGCGCAGTCCGGTAAAATATTTGCCTTCTACAAATGTCAAACAATAAGTTTACGATAATCAGTGGTGGTAATTCAGTGGCGCTTACACGAATATATAAACTATTGCTTTCGATTCATTTAAATATCCATAAGAAGATCTATCAATGGACTGTACCTACATCCAGATTAATAGACTCGTGTTTAAATACATGGTCCAACAAATAATAATAACTATATATACATAAGTTGTATGGTCCTCAAGTTATCAAAAAATGTTAATTAAGATATTAACCTAGAAATATTTGAAGCCTCCTTAAATCTTAGACCCGGTCTTACCAATATCTTTGATAGATTATGTACTGTTTTTTACGGTTTGTGTGAGAGTTCTAATCATGTTTTGTCCTTTTTGGGTGACACAATGGTTCTGAAAGGGAGCGAGAAGCAAGTTACCGTCGGATAAACCAGCAACGAGGAAAGACGCAGAGGGAGTGACAGGTGCAGAGATGAGGAACGATCCTCATCTCACTACTTACCCAACAGGTGTGGCCGCCTCTGTCGCCGCAGCTGCTCGGATTAACCAAGCCAAGTGATAATACCCATTAATTCTTTCTTGAGACTTAAGTAACTAATGGTATTGAGTTGTTAAGTATGGAAACTTACTTATATGTAAATATGTTGATGTGTATCATCTAAGAAACATTCTAAACCTCTCTATAATCTCTCTCAATGTCCGAAACCATAACATTTTAATACTAGTCTCCTCTCAAACATCACTTATCTAAACTTTGGCTATAGTGATTTTCAAGTTGTATTTTTCTAGAGTGAAATCAACGAAAAACAATATACAGTGTTTAAGGAGTTTATAGATGACATATAAGTATCATATCCATTATGTATCAAATGGTACGTATAAAAGACTTGTTACAGAAAGAGTAAGCATATTGTACTGTCAATTAGGATGTTTTTTGTATTTTTTCTAGAGTGGAACCACAAAAAAAAAACAGTAATTAACTCTCTTTTTTTGTTACAAGACTTTAGATGTTGAATGATATAACAGAACAATCATGCATATTGTGAATGAGAATGGATACAGTGACCAATGTTGTTGATGTGGTTTCATATAATTCGAAAAGATCCCACTTAATGGGCCGAATTTGATCAGGCCCATAAATGCTGAATTTATAGAAAACCCTAACGCCTCTACTCCTTAAAACGCAGTGTTTCAAGAAACTGCAAGCCTTCTTCAACCACTATAAAATCCTCTTAAACCCTAACGAGTTCCCGGCTCCTGCTTTCTCTCTCATTCGCAGTCCGTCATAAGCTCTGCAGAACCCTCCTAGGTACTGAATCTTTCTCCACTTCTCTTCCAACGTTATTAGTGGCTACATGTCTTCAAGTTCTTGGTCTTGTCTTAATATAGTTCTTGGTCATGATGTGGGGAAGAGAGAGTTTTTCACCTTAACTCGTGTTCTGTCTGTTTTGTTATTCCTGTATTTTCATGAAAATCATAATAAGTAAATGAGTAAACAGTTGTTTGTTTATTACTAGTTAATTAGCTTTATATGCAATGTATTTTCATGTCTGAACTCGTGTTCTGTCTGTCTTGTTGTTCCTATGTTCTTTCCCCGTAGGTCATATAATATGTAAGTTAGGAACAGAAAAAAGTGTTTATCTTTAAAATGATTTCTTTCAAGTTTATTAGCTTTAGCTCCCAAGAAGTTAGCTTTCTTTAGTTCTAAGTGAACTCATGTTTTTTTTCATGAAGATTATAAACTCTAAGCTAAGAAAAAGAATAAAAGAGTTCCACTTTATAATTGTTTCATTGTCTTTAGCTCCCAAGACATTAGCTTTTTGTTGGTCTAATTAAACTCGTCTTCTGTCTATCTCGTGATTACTGTATTAAGAAAGAAGATTCTCTTTATAGTTGTTTCTTGCTAGCTCATAAGCTTTAGCTCCCAAAGCAGTAGCTTTTTGTAGTTGTGAGTGTACGTTTAGCTGCTTTTAAGGGTTTCTTTCATTTCAATGTTTCAGGTGTTGACTTGAGTTTGTGAAAATGCTTCTCCTGTTTGAGACGCCAGCTGGTTTCGCCGTTTTTAAAGTGTTGGATGAAGGAAAACTCTCTAATGTTGAGGTTACCATCTTAACCTGCTTGAGATTCTTTTTTTTTTTCTGGCTTCGTTTATCTAAACTATTCTGTTTGTTAACTGGTCTTTTGTAGGATTTGGGAAATGTGTTCTCGTCTGCAGAGTCAGCCCGAAAGGTGATTCTTTTGTTTTTTAATATAGTTCATATCTAGTCTCTGGCTTATCTGTGTAAGGTTTCTCATAGTGCTTCGTTGTTTCTACAGATGGTGAAGCTGAAGGCGTTTGACAAGTTTGACAACACCTCTGAAGCTCTTGAAGCTGTTGCCAAGTTGCTGGAAGGAACTCCCAGCAAGGGTCTCCGCAAGTTTCTGAAAGCTAACTGCGAAGGTGAAACCCTAGCTGTTGCTGATTCGAAGCTTGGAAACATCATCAAGGAGAAACTGGTGTGTACTGTATTCTATTCGGAGATTATCATTTTGTGTTATTTCTATATATGAAATGTTTCTCATGCATTTGCTCCACTTCTCTAGAAAATCGATTGTGTTCACAACAATGCTGTTATGGAGCTCTTACGTGGTGTGAGAAGTCAGCTTACTGAACTTATCTCTGGATTGGGAGATCAAGATTTGGCTCCAATGAGCTTGGGGTTGTCTCACAGCCTTGCAAGATATAAGCTAAAGTTCAGCTCTGACAAGGTATGCCCATTTGTGTTTTGAGTTTCTTTGTTTTTTTCTTCTCTTGCTGTCTCCTAACGTTTTAGTTTTTGGTCAGGTTGATACTATGATCATCCAAGCTATTGGTCTGCTTGATGACCTTGACAAAGAGCTCAACACTTACGCTATGAGGGTTCGTGAATGGTACGGCTGGCATTTTCCTGAGCTTGCCAAGATCATAAGTGACAATATCCTCTATGCCAAGTCTGTCAAACTAATGGGAAACCGAATCAATGCCGCAAAGCTAGACTTCTCTGAGGTTAGACACCTTCCTAAATATTTCTTTGCACAGAGTTCCATGAAACTAAATTTTGAACATTTATCACAGATATTGGCTGATGAAGTTGAGGCGGAACTAAAAGAGGCTTCTGTGATATCCATGGGAACTGAAGTCAGTGACCTTGATTTGTTGCACATCAGGGAACTTTGTGATCAGGTTCTGTCTCTTGCTGAGTACAGAGCTCAGCTTTATGACTACTTGAAGAGCAGAATGAACACTATTGCACCGAACCTGACTGCTCTTGTTGGAGAGCTTGTCGGTGCTCGTCTAATCTCTCACGGTGGTAGTTTGTTGAACCTCTCAAAGCAACCTGGAAGCACAATTCAGATTCTTGGAGCTGAGAAGGCTCTCTTTAGAGCCCTCAAGACCAAACATGCTACTCCCAAGTATGGTCTAATCTACCATGCCTCTGTTGTTGGCCAAGCTGGACCGAAAAACAAGGGTAAAATCTCACGGTCACTAGCTGCAAAAGCTGCTCTTGCTATCCGTTGTGATGCTCTTGGTGATGGTGAAGACAACAGTATGGGAGTGGAGAACCGTTTAAAGGTAACGAACGCTATCAATAGTTTTCTTCTGCCATGAACAAACTAATTTACAATGTGGTCTTGATTGTCATTGGTCAGCTTGAATCAAGGTTGAGAAGTCTGGAAGGTAAAGATTTAGGACGTCTCTCTGGCTCAGCTAAAGGCAAACCAAAGGTTGAGGTTTATGACAAGGATAAGAAGGTTGGATCTGGTGGTCTGATCACTCCTGCTAAGGTTAGTTTGGGTTTGAACTTGTTTGTTTCTGTAAATGTGGATGTGCACAGCTGAGTTGTGGATTGTTTTGTGCAGACTTACAACACTGCTGCGGATTCTGTTCTTGGACAAACCTCCAAAGCTGAGGAGAGTGTCAAGGAGAAGAAGGATAAAAAGAAGAAGAAGAAGGCTGATGCAGAGGAGGAGGAGGAAGCCAAGACTGAGGAACCTTCAAAGAAGAAGTCAAAGAAGAAGAAGAGTGAAGTAGAACCTGAGACAGAGGAGGAGCCTTCAAAGAAGAAGAAGAAGAGAAAGCATGAGGAAGAGGAAACTGAAATGCCTGCCAAGAAGAAAGAAAAGAAGGATAAGAAGAAAAAGAAGAGTGAGGCTTGAAGAGAGTTTAAACTTTTTTTTGAGTGCGTTTTATTGTTTTTTGTTTCTGCCTTAGGTATTATCTGAAACTTTTTAAGAACTGATCATTGTTTAAGTCATTTTCCCTCTGAAACTTGCATTATTACTTAATGAATTTGACTCCAGGGTTCTTAAAAAAGATTCAATCCCTTAATCATCAAGATCTTATCTAAGGAACTATTCAGACAGTAGCATTATAAATGAAAAAAATTAGAGGTGTAGACACATTGGCATGCATCGAGGATTGATAAAGACATAGTTTGATTATATATAAATACTTATATCTTGATTATATTTAAAATTTTAAATTATATGAAATTATATAATTATTATTTTAGTATGATTTGAGCAATTCTATTCATATTATTACTTTATAAAAGTATTCCATAAAAAGATGAAAAAAATTATGAAAATTATAATTTTTTTGTAAGTTGTATTATTGTAATTGTTAACTTAAATTTAAAAAAACTTACAAAATATGTAAATTCACTACTTCTTTTAATTTTTATTTTCTATATCATGTAAAAATATTTTACAAATTAAATTTGTATCAAAATTTTAATATTATTTGTATCAATCAAACCAATGAAATATTCGTAAATATTCGTAAATATCCACAAAACTCTATAATATTATTTAAGAAGTCAGTGTACTATGTAACGCGTTCATATTAACTCTCACGATGGTTGATTACATTAATATCCTTAATAAATTAAAAGTACAATATTAGATTTAAATAGTATAATTGACTTACTTTTAAAATTTTCCAAATAGCATATATAATAGAAGAACAAAACATTTATAGAGTTAAAAAGTGAATTTAAAAAAACGAATGTAGATACTATAAACGAGCGTGGTTAGTGCAGCATATTTGATAATGGCATTATTGAACAAATGGGTAGCGTCATCAGATATGCTAAGAAGATGATGAAATACATTTGAAAAATATTAAGCAATCTTTAATAATAAAAAGTGTCATTCCATTCCTTGTGAATACAAATTTTACTTTCTTATTTTTTAAACATATATATTACTAAAATAAAAATTAAAAAGGAGAAATCATGATAGAGTAATTATCATTGTTTAATCAAATCCCTCCATATCATTTTCTTATGTCCCCATGCTTCCTTGTTTGATTTTATGTTTAAGAAAAATAAAAATGAAAAATTTAGATTTATATTTTGATGATTATTTTTTTTATAAACTTTTAAAATGTAATTGGAGTAGACTTTATTTGATAAACTATAAAACTACAATTAATTTTTAAATTCTTTAATACTAAAATATATGCATATATACTAAAAGAGATATATAGTAGTGAGAGGCTATCACCTACAATAAGTTCCATAATAAACCATTTCAATCTAAACTGTTTAGAGAAAGTAATCTTAATATTGACGGTCAAGATTTGATCATTTGTGCTAGTTTGACTTCAAGAAAAATAATACACTCTCTTTCTCTCCTGTTCTGTCTATTTCTCTCTCTCTCTACTGTGTTAAATAAGAGATTAGAATATTCTCTCTTTCTCTCTCTATCTGCTCGAAGCAGAACCATACACGTGTCTCTCTGTTTGAAATTTTGATTCGTATAAAAATCTCAGACAGTCGCGTAACATATCTTTGTGTCCTGTTTTTTTTTTTCTATTTCGTGAGAGACTCTCCTACTACTCCATCGAATCGGATTAAGAATCTCCTCAGAGTTTAAGCTTCAGAGCTTCGAAAAAATTCAATCTTGATCTCCAAAACACTGTTGAGGTAAGTAATTCAGATCAACCATTATTTTCTTTGAAGTTGTGTGTTTGGTTTAGTTGGTGGGAAACAAAAAAAATCTAAGCTTTTCAACCTAATTCATGACATGTTTAGATGAGTTCTTACCAGAAACGGAAACGTTTGAGATTTGGTTTATGTTGGCATACTTTTTATAGATTAGCCTTTTTTTTTGCGTTAAAGAGTCAGACTTTGATTCACTTTTTGAGCACCCTTTGCGTTTTATAATGAATTTCTTTTTATGTATAAAACAGCTGATTTTATTACAAGCTTCAATGATCTCTGCTTTGTCTTTTTCTTCTCTAAACAAGCTTATCTTTTTATGTTCCTGTTACTTTTCTAAGCTATTTATAGATTATGAGTGAGGAAGATGAGAATCTAGAGTAATTACAATTTTACAAAGAAAGTAATTCATATGAATTTGATTTTAACTTGCACTAAGACACTTTTGATATCGTTATTACAGGACTTTGTTTGAGAGGACAGCACGGAAAGATATTCGGTTTTACTGATCCATATCTGACTATTGGACTTGTATCTGTTCATGCCTGGATAAATTTTATGATGGCATCACTTTTGGATTCTGTAGTATCTTATTTGCCTTCAGTCTCGGCCTCTGATCACGCCTCTGTGGTTGCACTCAATCTCTTTGTTGCACTTCTTTGTGCTTGTATTGTCCTTGGCCATCTCTTGGAGGAGAACCGATGGATGAACGAATCCATCACCGCCTTATTGATTGTAAGTGTCTACTTGCATATATATATGATTCATTAAAACTTCAGGTAGCATGTTTTATTCATCTTGAATGACGTTTTGGTTGCAGGGACTGGCCACTGGTGTTGTCATTTTGTTGATTAGTAATGGAAAAAGCTCACATCTTCTGGTCTTCAGTGAAGATCTTTTCTTCATATATCTTTTGCCACCCATTATATTCAATGCAGGGTCAGTTTCTTTTGTATCCATTTTAATAGTTTTATCATGTATGGATTGGTATTTGAACGACCTGATATGTTAGTAACACGAGTTTCACCCCAAAAAGGACAAGAGTTTACATCAAATTTAATTTTAGAGAAGCAGGCACTATGTGATTCTAGGTGGTATAAGTAGAAAAGTGTACATGTGTTGCTTAGGAAGTTGAGGTTCTGCTTCTATATAAGCACATGCCATACATCAACTTTTGTAGTACATGTGTTTGTTGAAAAGAGAGAGGGTGTCATGTGTTTGGTCAATTAGTTAGATTTTATTCACGTGCACGTTGGTGGTCCTACCTTTGTCCTTGTCATGGATTTACTCTTCTTCCAGATATTTCTCAGAGGGATAACTTTATTTCCATTGTTGTCTGTTTCAGGTTTCAAGTAAAAAAGAAACAGTTTTTCAGGAACTTCGTGACTATTATGCTTTTTGGTGCTATTGGAACTGTTATCTCTTGCACTGTCATAACTCTAGGTAACCTTACTTCCCATTTCATTTGGCTGAAGTGCCGTTGAAAGCTGCTTATGGATTAGATCATGTGGATCATCAATCTGTTTGGTTGCCAGATAATTTTGTATATCTAGTGATTGTATGGTGGTGCTTGAAACAGGTGTAACGCAGTTCTTTAAGAAATTGGACATTGGGACCTTTGACTTGGGTGATTATCTTGGTAATGTCTCTGAACCAATGGCTTTGCTTTATCGGTTTTCACTCTAGTGGTCTTAAGTTAGGTTTGTTGGTGTTTTAATTTGCAGCAATCGGTGCTATATTTGCTGCAACAGATTCCGTGTGCACACTGCAGGTAATGTGTTACTGAAACTACTTACAAACACATAAAACAAAGTGGACCAAAAGTTCTTGTTTCTCTTGTGATGTGATATAGGTTCTGAATCAAGACGAGACACCTTTGCTTTACAGTCTTGTATTCGGAGAAGGTGTTGTGAATGATGCCACATCAGTTGTTGTCTTCAACGCAATTCAGAGCTTTGACCTCACCCACCTTAACCATGAAGCCGCTTTTCAATTTCTTGGGAACTTTTTCTATTTGTTTGTCCTTAGCACCTTGCTTGGTGTTGCGGTAATTCCATTTTTTTCCTTCTCTGCCATTATTTTTTGTTACTGCTGTTTGCATCTGCAACCTTCGGATTCATTTTGCAGACCGGTCTGATTAGTGCATATGTCATCAAAAAACTATATTTTGGAAGGTAAATATTCAGCGCCAATAGATGTGACTCTGTTTATTATCAGTTTCCCTGTTTGGTCTAAAGTAAATGTCCACACATGGCATGCCTCAGACACTCCACTGACCGAGAGGTTGCCCTCATGATGCTCATGGCATATCTTTCTTATATGCTGGCTGAGGTTAGATTCTATGAACTACCATACCACTTTCTTAGAGTTTTACATTCAAAGGCAAAGTATACTGACATTATATTGTTTTGCGTTGCAGCTTTTCGACTTGAGTGGTATTCTCACTGTGTTCTTCTGTGGTATTGTGATGTCCCATTACACCTGGCACAATGTAACCGAGAGCTCAAGAATCACTACCAAGTATGAAAACCTCCTTTCATTCAAAACACTTTGTAGTGTACCTCTCAATACTTATTTGATGCGTTTTTACATGACACAGGCATACCTTTGCAACATTGTCGTTTCTTGCGGAGACATTTATCTTCTTGTATGTGGGAATGGATGCCTTGGACATTGACAAGTGGAGATCAGTGAGTGATAGCCCGGGAACATCAGTGGCAGTGAGCTCAATCCTAATAGGTTTGCTCATGCTTGGAAGAGCAGCGTTCGTCTTTCCCTTGTCGTTTCTTTCAAACTTAGCCAAGAAGAACCAAAGCGAAAAAATCGACTTCAAGATGCAAGTATGAATCATTCTTACTTAGTACTAATGGGTTTAATAGTTCTTCTGAATCTCACAGCTGTTTATATCTCTCTCCAGGTTGTGATTTGGTGGTCTGGTCTCATGAGAGGTGCTGTATCAATGGCTCTTGCATACAACAAGGTATAAAACAGAAGATGTTCTTTACTTAAAACTCTATAAAGCTTTCGCTGACTCAACACTTGCTTGGTCACGTTGCAGTTTACAAGGGCTGGAAAAACGGATTTGCGCGGGAATGCAATCATGATCACTAGTACTATAACAGTCTGTCTCTTTAGCACCATGGTAAGTTATCTCTAGATGTTCATTGAGTTACAAACACACATATTCCTCAATTTGATTCTCTTGAACCGGTGTTTTCAGGTGTTTGGTATGTTGACAAAACCACTCATAAGATTCCTTTTGCCGCACCAGAAAGCCACCACGAGCTTTTTATCTGATGGTCACACCCCAAAGTCCATCCAGATCCCTTTGATAGACCAAGACTCGTTCATTGAGTTTACAGGGAACAACCACAATGTGCCTCGGCCAAATAGTATACGTGGCTTCTTGACACGGCCAACAAGAACAGTGCATTACTACTGGAGACAGTTTGATGACTCTTTCATGAGACCTGTCTTTGGTGGGCGTGGCTTTGTCCCTTTCGTGCCTGGTTCTCCGACAGAGAGAGACCCTCCTACTGATCCCAGCAGTGTTTGAGAGAAGTATGTGACTGAAAGTATGTAATTTATTTGTAATATTGTTTGTGAGGACAGAGAGCTGTCCATACCTATTGAGAGCAGTAAGCAAACTCTTTGAAAGGGTTCTGATTGTAGTGTATATTCTATGTATTTGCTTACTTGTTGTAAGATGGAACAAAACTATCATTTGTTTATGTGTGTTTGAATTTTTGTTACTGATTCGACCGGATCGGTTTAATTCGGTTAGGACAATGGAATAAAAGGAGCTTTTCTTTGTTGACGAGCTGTACATTTTACAAGACCCCAAATCAGTGGCTGCATTACTATGTTGTCGTTTCTGCTGGACCAACTTTGTATAAATACAGCCTTGAGTACTCAGCTAACACTGCATTAACACTCCTTGTACAATCGGCTATCTCTCTCTTGAACAGATCAGGCGTGAAGATCGATAATGGCTACAAGTTTCAGCTCCTCAATCTCTACAAGTACATCTTTCTTTCCTCATTTTCACGTTGTAACTTGTAACACACACAATGCAACCCTCGTTTTCTGATACTATGATCAATCAGATACACTTGCATTTGAATCTGTTAATGACTTGAATGACAAATCTCTAGCATATATAATTGTACTTGTATTCTTGAAACATTCATCATTGCTTCTTGGCCTCTGAACTAAAACAGGCTACAACAACAAGATTCACTCTCCAGAAACCGGCTTCCATTTTCAACGATAGAAAAACTAATCTCTCATTCAGCCTACGAAGCCCCATCCCTGCTCGCCTTGCTATCTCTTGTGCAGTACGTCACTTGTCACTGAGTTCTTGAGCCTGTTTTTGAGGTATGTTTGTGGTTCAAGGTTAAGCAAGAGACAGTGGAGAAAGTGTCTGAGATTGTGAAGAAGCAACTGTCGCTCGCCGAGGATCAAAATGTAACAGCCGGAACAAAATTTACTGAACTTGGAGCTGATTCTCTTGACACGGTATCCACTAAACTGCTACATTCATTTGACCTTTTTTCTTTCTTTACCTCGTAACTCATTGTTCAATCATGAACACACACTCTGATCTGTGAGACTTGCAGGTGGAGATAGTAATGGTTTTGGAGGAAGAGTTTGGGATAACAATGGCTGAAGAAAGAGCGAAGGAGATTGCAACAGTCCAACAAGCTACTGAACTCATTGAAGAACTCGTCCAACAGAAAACCGCTTAAGTGCGTCTTTGTTCTTGTCTTTTCTCATCAAGCTTTTATCTCTTAGCCCTAGTGGTTTATTGTGTCACATCTTTGGAGTACCACAAAGGCTTTTCTTTCAGATTTATTCAGTTTGAGGACCAAAGAACCTTGATGTTACATGTTTATTCAAGAGTACAAACGCACACATAACGCACAACTGAAAACTAAAGCCTTGAAAAAAAAGCAGGCAATACATTGGCTCCTACGAGATTGTACCAAACTATTCACAGTTTCAGAAGATCAAGAAGGAACTCTAAGTCCTATTCCCAATCAGCATCGAAAAAGCCAGCATCCTTCATCTCTGAGTAGTATACATTCTCCAAGTTTAGATCCTCTTCCTGCAGTAAACGCCATTCACATGAGAAAGAGAGAATATGAATGAATTAATGAATGAATGGATGGGACTATTTGTTATTTTTAACCTGGAAAAAGTCTGCGAGGAAAGTAATGTAAAGAAGAGGAAGGTATAAGGCGTGGTAGCAGACACTAATGACCCCATACAACCTGCATTCATTTTTGAGTAGTGTTAAAAGGCAGTCAAAAGCTGAATATAAGAAGAGTTTTAGATAGATTTACCAGAATCCAAAATGAGCGCCGTTGGCAGTAAACGCAGATGCAACTAGGTAGAGTCCGTACAAGGCGAACATGATGGTTATGTACTTGTAAAATGCAGGCCTTGCTGTCAAAACAAGAAGATGAGAAGGATGAGATAATAGAAGAGACCAGTGAAAGGCTATTATAGGCTAGTGAAGATGAAAGCGTCTGATGAAGTTACCGGGTAATCTTTCTCTCCAGCTAGAGTTGTACATAAAAAATATCACCCCATAAACTCCAGTGAGTAAAAGCTTGTGAATGACCCATAATCCCCATTTGAACTTGTGTACATTCTCATTGTTGTCAATGAACAACGGCACACCAAACCCAAAGACATAAATGGCCTACAAAAAAGTGAAATAACCCGGAGGAATTAAGGAGATGACAGAACCAATTTCAGCCATAACAACAACGATTGCAGAAGGTATACGAGTAGACAAGTGTAAACAAGATGTGGTACCTTGAGAAGTAAATCGAGAGCAATAGCAAACCCCGAGATTAGGAAAGTTCTACTTAATGCTTGTGCACCGCTTGCATAGTTTCCTTGGAAGAGAAACGCCACCAAGCTTACTTCCAAGAACAGCATTCCAGATGTTGTGAACAAAGTCAACAGATTCCAAGAAACTTCCTTCCCAGGAGTGCATTCCCAACCCTATAAAATGCAAAAAATAATCAAATTAACCAAACAAGGCAACACAATACAAATGATCTAATAATATTTACAGATTTCCTATTAAATGATTACATGTATGACTGCAGTTATGATCTTCCTAACAAACACCAATTCAGTTACTATCAAATGATTACATGCATATTCCTTCCAAGTAGTAGAACTTGATCCTAAAATCAGTACACGCTCATTCCTAAAACATTTCAAAATCAACCAAACAGTAAACACGATACACATGATATAATCAAATAAAAAAACTAAATGAATACAAGGTGGCTGCGTATAATAACATATGATCACCCCAATCCAAATACTATCCAATGGCTACATCTATATCCCTTCAAACATGATAATGTCAGTACCCATGAACAGCTCAAGACCAAATACTTTCCAAATCTGAGTCTCACCAAGCCTTAAACTAGTCTCTAACAAGCTCATCCAATTCAAAACTAAATGGATACAAGGCGACTGCGTATTACAGGTATATTCCTTCGAACTAGTACACTTTCCTCCTAAGATGAGTTCCCATGAACACCTCAAGACCAAAAAAAAAGTTTCTAAATTTGAGTCCCACCAACCCTAAAACATTCTTTTACTCAATCAAAGTTCTGATCTTTTCATTCAATTACAGTTATGATCTTCCTAGCAAACATCAATCCAATCACTATCAGATGATTACATATATATTCCTTCAAAGTTTCTAAATTTGAGTCCCACCAAGCCTAAAATAGTCTTTAATCCAATCAAAGTTCTGATCTTTTCACACAATTACAGTTATGATCTTCCTAACAAACACCAACCCAATCACTATCAGATGATTACATGTATATACCTTCTAAAGTAGTACACTTTCATCTTAAGACCAATGCCCATGAACAAAAGTTTCTAAATTTGAGTATCACCAACCCTAAAATAGTCTCATCAATTTCAACCAAAGTTTCAATCTTTTTCATTACCCAACAACTAAAACCGAAAACCAAACAAACCTGAAGACAACACCAAGCAAGATTAAGCAAGCTAACGAGCCAAAGAGAGGCGTAGTAAGCGATCATGATGAAAGATCTCCGATTCGAGAGCTTGGAGAAGCTCTTCTTCGCCTCGTAAGCTAAGTAACCCACGAAGAAGAGAGAAGCAGCAACGAGAACCGTGTTGTGTAGAAACCCATGGCACCTATCGACCCATCCGCCTCCGCCATAGCCTTTGGTGATCGAATTAGGGTTTAGTTGTGAGATTAGAGAAGGTGAAACCGCTAGTTCCTCGAGGAGTCGCATCTCGCATCAATCAATGGGTGTGTGAATCAGAAGGAGAGAGAGAGTGGTGGTTTTTGTGAGATTGGAACGTAGAATTGATTTGTGAAACAGTGAGGTTTAAAATTGGGAAATTATAATAGTTATTGGGCATTAACGTAATTATGATGAAATGAAGGAGCGAAACAGAATATTAATGCGGAATACGCAGCAAGTGACATGATGAGGTGCAAGCAGCATGGAATGTGTGGTTACATATTTAATTTTCTTTATGAAATTTAATTTAATATTTTTTTATTATTCTTTAATTTTCTGTATTCTAATTTAATCTAATTTATTTTTGAAAATTTATTTAGTTTTATTTAATTTTCTATTTTTTAAAATTTTATTTAGTTATCTGATCTTTATATAATTTCCTGATTTTTATTTAATTTTTATTTATTTATTTATTATTTAAATAGTTTTTGTTTGAAAAAAAACAACACATCATCACATTTATCTGTACAATATGTTATTGTTTTATTTGATGAACAAATGAGTTAGATTAAAATATTTTTGTAATACAAATGTCATTTTGAAGATTTTAAATGCTAGTTTAAAAATTTCAGTGTCAATACGTGACGACATTTCTAAAAGATTTTATGAGATTTTCCCCATATTACTTTGTAAATAATATAGTCTTCTTTTGGATACCATTTTAAAAAATACAGTACATTTCTTGACCGTGGTAACAATCTTGATGACATTTGTATTGATGCAAATTCCTGTCTCGGACATCATCTACATCCAAGATCGTGTGTTGTTCCTCAAGAAGTTGGAGGCTAATTAAGTAAGTCAAAGGTTTGATTAGTTAAGTTGGAAGAAACATCAAGTAAATATACAAGTACGACTTGGGACAATCTAGCCTTTGAATCTCTATGTGCTAGGCCTGTATAATACATCAATCTGATTCAAGAGCCCATGTGTACTCTCCTAGCTACTTTGAGTTACTAATGTAACTCTAACGTTGGAGTGATAAGGCACATTAAAGCTCGTAAAAGCCTGAGATTAACGAGATGCCATAACTCTTCTATGTTTATTTTCATATCTACACTAATATGGTTTTGTTTAGAGGTAGTATACTGTATGATACCTTCATACGTACATATTTCTCTACTCTGATTCCGAATCCAACTAAAGGATGTTCTTGTCCTCTAATCTCCTGAACAAAATAGCATTTTTTAATCAGATACCTTAACAAAATTACTCGACCTTAATGATGATACACTCTTTTTTTTTTTTTGATCAAATAATGATGATACACTCTATCCTAGACACAAAGCAATGTAAATTAGGGTTGACAAAGGACGACTAGGTTACCTCGTGATGCCACTGGTTTTATATGTAAATGGGCATAATTCTTGTCTACACGCCACATTTATTTTAGGGATTTTTATGCTACTTTTTTTTTTAATAGTAACAATTTAATAGAAACTGTACTTGAGGTTGAGCTATAATGTGGAAGAAAACTCATTCAAACGAGGATTGAAGCAAAAATAAAATTCGAGTTAAAACTTAAAAGCCAACTAAGTCAAATACATGCAAGTGATATGTCCACTGCAGGCTCTGGATACCTCTTGGAATTTTCCAGTTTTTATGTATAAATGGTTTGTCACACTCTGACAGGAGCCAAAGAGTTTTACTCGGTATCATTTTGATAGTTTTTAATGGTTTTCTGTAATTTATTTTGAAACATATATCCGTTGTAGGAAAGTGTACTTTCAGAACATTTCAATACATGTTTTTTAAAAAATTAAAAGAAAGCTATGTATGGGACTATAATTTTTTTGGTACAATATGGGACAAGACATACAAACACTAATTGAAACCATAGCTTAAATAAGATGTAAATGGGAAAACGTTAGAAAAGCTAAATTCATACACACATACATCGTACATAAAACTCATTTAGACAAAAATGTTCCAACGGAACTAGACACATTATACAGTTACAAATGAATAGACATATAACGTACTATGTGACATTAATACATGTCCACTTCAACATGTGCTTTGTATTATTTGGCCAAACATTCTCTTTGCTGCTATATATTATTTGGCCAAACATTCTCTTTGCTGCTTATATCGTCGACTCTTATTAGCTCCTCTTTTTTTTTTGTAACATCATTAGCTCCTCTTGTTGAGCAATTTATTTTGTTCGTATCTAGAGCTATACATTTTTCAATATAAAATTGATTATCGATATTTAGCACTTGTTTCTTATGTTGTAATATGAAAACTGTTATATAAACAACTTTATAACAATAAATTCTACTCAGTTTATGAAAGATTGGAAATTAATTTTCAATAATTTGTATAAATGATAATAAATCAGATTTCCTCAAATGGTAAATATCATTAATAAGTGTTTAGTCAAACTCGAAGCTAATTAAGCGAATCTTTATGCAAATTAGTTTTCAATAATAAAT